TGCTTACATACTTGTTAGGCCAATTGAGGATCTACACCATACGAATTTATCGTTGGTAATCGACTTTGTTAACATATCTGCCAGGTTATCTTTAGTATGGATTTTCTATATATCCACACTCCCTTCTTCCACCTTTTCACGAACAAAGTGAAATTGGACCCGTATATGTTTCATTTTGGAATGAAATGCTGGATTCTTTGTCAAGTACAAAGCGCTCTAACTGTCACAAAATAGAGTCATTTTCTCTACTTTGTGCCCGAGCTCCTCCAATAGCATTTGCAACCATATAGCCTCTTTACTAGCTTGAGTAGCAGCTATATATTTTGCTTCCGTCGTTGAAGTTGCCACAACCGACTGCAACTTCGAGACCCAACTTACTGCTCCGCTAGCAAGAGTAAACACATAACCCGTGGTGGATTTACTACAATCAAGATTACCTGCATAATCTAAATCAACATAGCCTCTAATAATGAAGTCTGATCCTCCATAACATAATGCAATATCTGAGGTACCCTTGATATATCTAAGGATCCTCTTCACATCACTCTAATACTCTCTACCAGGATTTGCCATGTATCGACTCACCGTTCCCACTTCTTGTGCAATGTCTGGTCTAGTGCAGATCATAGCAACCATTAAACTGCCCACTGCTAATGCATACGGTACTTGAGACATCTCCATCCTCTCTACTTCGTTGCTAGGACTTATACTTGAGGATAACTTGAAATTAATAGAAAGATGGGTAGAAATTGGCTTACAATCTTGCATGTTGAAGCGGCGCAAGATTTTCTTCAGATAATTCTACTGAGAGAGCCAAATCTTCCTATTATTTCTGTCTTGGTGGATTTACATCCCTAGAATCTTGTTTGCTGGTCCCAAGTCCTTCATTTCAAATTCCCTAGCCAGTTGAGCCTTCATCTCTGTGATACAATCATTGTTGGGGCCTACTACCAACATGTCGTCAACATACAACAGCAAGATGATAAACTGATTATCATCAAATCTCTTGCAATATGCGCAAGGATCAAAATTAAACATGTTTTATCCAAGGCTCAGAATGAATGAATCAAATCTATTATACCAACATCTCGGCGCCTGTTTGAGACCGTATAGAGATTTGGTCAACCTGCAAACCAAGTTCCCTTTATCTTTTTCTTCAAAACCTCCTAGGTGGAGCATGTAAATCTCTTCATCAATTTCTCCATGTAGAGATGCAGGTTTCACATCCAACTGATCAAGATACAAGTCATACACAGCACACTCAGGGGAAACTGGAATTTCTTATTCCTTCCTTCCCTCAACTTATACTGTAGTTGTCATTGGTTTCTCATTTACTGTGCTTTCACCTTCTTGTACCTTGTTTTCTACAAATACAACATTCCTGCTGATGATAACCTTGTGGGCAGTGGGATCCCACAGGCATACCCCTTCACTCCATCAGCATACCCCAAGAAAACATATTTTCTTGATTTTGGATAAAGTTTAGATGTTTCTTGAGCGTTGTATATCACATATGCCGGACTCCCAAATGTATGCAAGTGAGAATAACTGGATGGCTTACTAATCCACATTTCCATTGGCGTTTTCAGATCAATTGCGGTTGATGGTGACCGATTGATCACATAACAGGCGGTTTTGACTGCTTCAGCCCAAAATGAATTTGCCAAACTTGCAGTCCTCAACATTGCCCTTGTTCTTTTCCAATAGGGTTCTGTTCATCCGCTCTACCACTCCATTTTGTTGTGGAGTATACACCACCGTGAACTGTCGTTTGATACCTTCTTGCAGACAGAATTTATCAAACAGATCACTAGTATATTCTCCCCCATTATCCGACCTTAAACACTTGATCCATTTCTCGGACTCAAGTTCCACACGCGCTTTGAAGAATTTGAAAACTTCAAATAGATCCGCCTTTCGCTTGATTGGATACACCCAACATCTCCTCGAATAATCGTCTATGAAGGATACAAAATACTTTGCACCTCCCAGGGATATAATTAGTGCTTGCCAAACATCAGAGTTGATTAGCTCTAAGATAGCCTTGCTCCTTGCTTTAGAGCTCTCGAACTTCAATCTATGCTGCTTACTTATAACACAATGCTCATAAAAAGGTAATGAAACCTTCTTTAATCCTGGAAGAAGATGTTGATAAAGAATCTTTAGACCTCGTTCCGACATGTGGCCAAGTTTTTGATGCCACATCATCGTTGATTCCTCTATAAGATTGTCTGATGCAACAACTGTTTTTCCTTGTAGTTGTGTTTCTCCTTTAAGCATGTATAGATTGGCCGCTATCTTTTCAGCTTTCATCACAACAAGCGGGCCCTTGGTTACTTTGATGATCTCATCCTGAAAGTGAATTTTAAATTCACGACTATCTAATTATCCTAAAGGCAATAGATTTTTCTTCAGGCCTTTCACGTGTCGTACCTCTTGGATAGTGTGAACCGTACCATCAAACATTTTTAGTTTAATAGTACCAAAGCCAGCAATCTCTAAGGCATGGTCATCTCCCATGAACACTGGTCCTCCAGAGACAGGTTCATATTCATGAAACCATTCTTTCCGTGAGGTCATATGCTATGTTGCTCCTGAGTCCATTAGCCAGACATCAGCTATACTTTTCCTGCCTTCAACAATTGTTGCTACTTCACCAAATAAAACATCGCTTCCATCCGATGTACTCACAACACATCCCTGAGCATTTGATGTCTCGGGATTTTTGCCTTTGGCCCCATCCTTCTTGAGCTGCCGACACTCACTCTTGTAGTGTCCTTTTTTGCCACAGTGAAAAAACTTGACATTCTTCTTACCCCTTGATTTTGATCTACCTCAGTTGAGACTCCCACTAGAACCAGGCTCCATTGATCTTCCTCTTGTCACTGTCAAAACTTGAGATTGTTGTGAAATTCCAACTTTGTCTTCTTTGTTTTTGCGCCGATTTTCTTCTTCAAGAACCGCAGCTGCAATATCATCGAAGACAAGTACATCTTTGTTGTTAACTATATTGATAATGAGTTGATCATATGAATCCGGTAGACTTTGGAATAAGATTTCAGCACGTTCATTCACTTCTATTTTATAATAACTCAACGCCGAGAGTTGTGAAAATAGAGTGTTGAGAGTGTTGATGTGCTCAGTTACTGGGGATGTCTCCATCATCCTGAGAGTGTATAGCTTCCTCTTCAAGAAGATCTTGTTGTGCAGTGATTTGGCCTCATACAAATTTACGAGAGTATCTCATATCTCTTTTGTCGTACTTTTTTTTGCCACACTTGACAGAACTTCATTAGCAAGTGCTTAGTGCAGATTGGCAATAGCGTTGCTATCCATTTCTGTCCACTTCGCATCGTCTGTGAAGTCGGCTGGTCTTTCTTCAATTGCTGCAACGCAGTTATCTTTCCTGAGAACTGCTTTCATTCTCATTTTCCACAACGAGAAACTGTTCCCATTGAACTTTTCAATCTCGTACTTTGCCATCATTGTAAGTGGTGTTCTTGATCCTGAACAATATATCTAAATAGTATCGTATAATAGAACACTACCGGTCCTTTGAACAGTACACCAGGAAAATATTTCTAGAGAAGAGAGGTGAGTCACAAATGGACTGCTTAAATACCAAGTCTTAACCAGATCTTTTCCTAGACATGTATAATTACTTTACCAGTATGAGTTCTAACATAAACGATACAGTAAAGATATATCTATGAACCAACCTAGGGCTCTGATATCACTTGTTAGGATCGATACGGTTCACAACACCAAAATACAAAGGCAACTTGGACTAAAAATAATGAGAATATTTCTAGTGTAAGATCTAAAATAAATCACACACAAAATAAAGGCAATTTGAAAAACGATTTTCTGTATTGGCAAAAGGATATTACAATAGGAATTACAAATATAACTCTCTATATTTTTGCTATGCTAATGAGAGGATTCCTGATGGAATGGGATGATTGGATGAAGAGGAGTTGCCTATTTATAGCAAACCCACTCCTGCAAATTCCTCTTGCTCTTTCAGAGATGAGCACCTTGCTCTTTCTCAGAGATGAGCACCTTGCTCTTTCAGAGATGAGCACCTTGTTCTTAGACCAAGTGTTTGCTCCTGCTCCTAACCTCATCAAAAAAAAGGTTCTGCCCATTTCCACATTTGACTTTAATATTTACATATAACAGCCTCGCAGCGAAGGTGTATAAGGACATGTATTATCCAAATTAAAGTTTAATTTCTTGGAGGCAACCATGGGCGACAATTGAAGTTATGTATGGAGAAAAATTGGTTATAGGAGGGCTACCTTAATCTGGAAATCCCCGTGCATGGTTGGTTGGCGATCGAGGAACATGTGTGTTGATTCCGAGCCCCATCCTCAGCTGGCTGAAGCCCCCATCTCCTCCCTCATGACAATGGTTTTGCTAAGATATGTCATTGACATATAGTTGAAACAGACTTATCTCTTTTCACAACACATGCATCCATGCCTCTTACATTTTGGACCTATGCCTTTGCCATAGCTTCTTATCTTATAAACCGAATGTCTATGCCTACACTTCATTCTCACTCTCCTTTTGAAGTCCTTTTTCAAACTCCCTCTAGATACACTAAACTTCGTGTATTTGGCTGTCCCTATTACCCTTGGTTAAGACCATATACACATAATCAATGTACATAACACTTATTTTTTTAAAAATCAGTTTGTGTCGTTCTTAAGTATTAACAATAAAATGAGAAATCAACTTGGTTGACATGAGTGATCGTGCATACTCAACCCAAAGAGACGTCGGAAGTTCAAAACCTTCTCTCATATGAAAAAATCAACATAGTCAGTACTTTGCACTTAAGAGAGTTAGTCTGGGTATAGTATGACTTAAATGTGTCTCCTAATAATAACAATAACAAATTAACAATAGGTTGATAAGCAATTTTGATAAGAAAAGGGGCTGAAATTTGCAATTAAGTATTGGCAGGGTCTAGAATGAAAATAATCCCAAATCATTCTTCATCTTCTTCAGTTTGTCATTCAATTCGCCCTAAGAAACCTAGTCCTCTGGCACTCTTCTTCTGCCGCCTGGCGCCTGCAGCTCTCCAAAAAAAATTCATTTTATCGCCTCTCTGAGTCAGGTATTGTTATTATTTTTTTTTATTATTGTTTTATGCGTTGATATACTTCAACTTATTCCAGCTTTTCCCGTTCCTTTTTTTTTTTTTTTTTTTTTTTTTTTTAAGTTTTATTTTCAATTTTTATGCTTTTTCTTGGGATGTCATATTTGAACTGAACCTATATTTTGAATGCTGCACTGCACTAGGTTTGTGGTTTTAAACCGATGTAGGATGTCCTTTACTACAGAAAAATTGGGTTCAAACTTTGAACTGCTTAATTTAATGCTTGAAAGCATATTCTAATCTTAAGGTGCCAAGCAAAATATTTAACCTTTGAGCCAAATGTGCTCTGCTTTCTTTCTTGTTCACAATTAGTTCTGGAAACGGTCTAAAGATGGTGTCCAGGTAAGTATGTCTCCAAGCTTTGGGGAAAAGATTGTTTGGTTATCAACAACCACTTGGCCATGAGCAAACTCCCTCCAAATCCTGCCAGCCATTCATTTTTTTCTCAGTTTTAGAGGCAATGTTACATGAAAATTTTGGTGCTTGCTCATGCTAGTAGTTTATGGATAAGGAGTACTTCTCCTTTTTGTGGAATGTAATGGCTATTGAGGGGTGTGAACATAGAATGGTAAGGGCTAAGAGTTGAGTCCAATTTGGGTTGATACGGCGAGTGTTGTAAAAATTGACCTAGGCGCCCCTAGGCCGAGGGGATTTCAGCCCTAGGCGGCTTTTAGTTGGCCGGGCAACTAGGCGCCCAACTCGGGCGAGTCAACCGAGTGTTTTTTTTTTTTTTTTTTTTTTTTTTTAATTGTGAATGTAAAATTTAAAAATAGTGAATCCCCAAATGGCTAAAACCAAAAGAATTAAAAAACAGTCTAACATATGTAGTTGACTAGTTTGTCGGATTATAACAGTTTAAAGTAGTGTTCAATGCCTGTCTGCCTCGCTGCCCACTGCCTTTATATATATATAATTACCCGGCTGCTTAGTCGGCGACTTAGCAACTAGGTGCCCGACTAGCGCCTAGCGCCTTCTAGGACATTGGATATGGCCTTGACCAATTGTAGGTGAAATGTATTATCTCTGAAACTTGTGGAGGACAACAATCATGCTGATATTAACTTTTAGTTTGGACAAGAAAATAGGACTGAGGACACAGGTTTAGTTAGGTGGAACTTGCCGTTGAGGTTGTATTCGAATTACTAGAAACAGTAAGGTTTGATTGATAAAAGATGAGAAAAGTCAAAACTATATAGTGTAATGCGTTCAATGGAATCTACAAGTATAATCTATTCCACAAGTAAAAGGATGAATGCATATTGGACCTATTTATGTGGATGGCTGCTTTTAGCAAGAAAATAATGATTTGACATTTTAGTAGCTTGTATATGCGCAAAGTTTACCATTCTTTTACCCCGTAACTCAAGGAATTATTACTTTGTGTGGGAAACTCTGCTCATAAGTCTTAAAAACGTTCTTCTAGTATAGTTTCACTGCACTTGCCTCTGCTTGCCGAAACTTAACCACTTGAGTTATTTTTCTTTATCTTGGTCGTATGGAGAGTTTTAAGTTCCAATGTTCTTTCTGACTGTTCTTACCATTAATATATGTAGAAAAATTTGTACTGAATTCATCTACACCCATTTTTGGCTAACCCCTAAAGTATAATTTGAGTATGTGCCATAAAATAATGGAATGGAGAAAAATGACTTCTGATATTAAGCATTGTAAAGCTTACAACTTGAATGGTGCAGGCTCACATGGATGCTCAAATGCAAGACGCCTTTTGTCCGCAAGTTAAAGCAACCCTTCGCCTTGGGTCGGAAACATATTGTGTTGAGGTGAACAAGGGAATTGTATCTGAGCAATTGGTCTCGATGAAGGAGCAAAGCATGAGTGTACTGAAGGACTTCATCACGAAGCATAATGTTCCAAATGATGTACCCGATGAACCAGAAGAGATTTCTTCTGAAGACGAAGATGAAGGTGAAGCTACCGAGAAGCCTCCTGTAAAATCAAAGAAGCGAAAGTAATTCGTTTCCTTTCTAGTCTCGAAAGTGCAGGACCGGCCACGATATATTGGTAGAGGAGGAAGTATTCTTGACATACATGTATGTTTTTACAAAAACAAATTGCAACAGAATATGATTTGCTATTATGTAGAACTGTTCTGCATTTTGGAACCGATTTCTGATCCACCCCTCATTCCTCTCTACCCCCTGCTATTGCCTTTTCCTGTATTCCATACAGCTCTTGTATGATATTTAATATTGTTTATAATGATTGTTCATGTTATATCCAGACAGCACCGACGATAGCCTAAATAATTTAGGGATTATACATCATGTATATATGTAAAGAACAGTACTAGAAACAGGATAAATGAAGATGGATTAGTAGATGAAAGAGTATAGTAGATCATAGTCCATGATATAATAATCCAGTATTTTGGGAAATAGTTACTATAAATTAAATTAACATATATATATATATATATATATATATATATATATATATATATATATATATATATATATATTATTTAATTGTTTAAAAATAATTGTAATTTCAAATTTAAAAATAAAAGTAATTTATCTAGAATGAGCTAGAAAACTGCACTTCTGTTTTACTGTTTTAATACATACTCCGTATTAGGTTAGCCTCGCAGGCTCGCACCAATCGCCTAAAAAAGCTTATAATTTTCATGTAAAAAGTATCTTATGTCTAGAGCTGTCAATACGGGCATGCCAAAGCTCGCTAGCCTGTGGGTCTAGATAGGGCGGGCTAAAAAAGTCCGCTCCTTGACTAACTTGGGTTTTACACTTTTATTAGTCCAGACCGCCCCGCCATCAGACCCGCGGGCTAGGCAAACCCCGTCAATCCGATACCAGTGGACCACAAGCCACTTGGTTAAGTTTTACCATTTGTATACTCTAAAAATGCACAAATTATGTTGTGCTACATGGTGCACACGGTTGCAAAAACAACGTCGTTTGAGTAAAAACGCGCGTCCCACTTAAAAAAAAAAAATCAGGTTTGATTCTCGACAATAGCATTTTTTTTGTGCATAATTTGAATTATATATCCACAAATTCATAACTATATATCCACAAGTTCATAACTATATATCCATAAATTCATAACTATATATCAAACAGTGAATGAATAACACAAAATCCAGAATGAATGAACTAAATATCCACAATGAATGAACTAAATATCCACAAAGAATGAACCAAATATTCACAATGAATGAACTAAATATCCACAAATTCATAACTATATGTCCACAATAATTAATAACTATATATCCACAATAATGCTGTTGAGGGGAATCGAAATTGAATTTTTTTATTATTATTAAATGGGACGCGCGTTTTTAGTCAAAACGACGTCGTTTTGCAATCGTGTACACCATGCATGATGCACACGGTTGCACAACATAACTATTGCTAAAAATGATTAAAATAAATTGTTACATAACTAACATAAGACATAGTTCATCAAACATTAAACATTACATAATACATAACAATAATTATAAAGTCTATAGTCTAAAATTTTAAAACCTTAAACTGGATTATGGTTATTATTTATTAGGTTATAGTTAGATTTTATAAAATATATATATATATATATATATATATATATATATATATATATATATATATTAATAAGTTCGGGCAACCCGCGGCCTGTCAGGCCCGTCCCGCCAAGTTCGTGCACCTAGGCAGGGCGGGCCAAAAAGATCCGCTCCTTGACGACTGCTATTTTCAAAATTCACCTAAGTAGGAAGCGGGACGGCCCGGTTTGACAGGCAAAACCTGTTTTGACGACTCTACTTATGTCTATTTATTTTTGATGACAATTTCATATTTTGTTTTAGAGTTAATGTCGAGTCATCCACTCATCCTTAATAAAATTAACACCGAGTAAAATTTGATTAGATTTTAAAAACAACAAATAAGTCTTGGCCAAACCCACTGCCGGCATAAGGCGCATTGCCGTTGGAGCAGTCTAAGTGCCTAAACCGTCCGTGCCCGTGCCAAGCCGGCACCGGCCAACAATCAACATCTTCAGAATGTGATTTGGTGGAAACCTCTCTGGCTCTCTGTCACTGTCTTGGTCCCCTACTCCCCTCAAAATATATGCATGCAAAATTATTATACTGTCAGAAAACACGAGAGATTTTAAAATATCTACTTTAAAAATTATATATTTCTATAACACTAAGAAATATAAATACTAGTAATTTTGATCTTTCATGTTAAATGTGACTTTTATTCATTAGGTGTTAATAAATTAACTAACTGACCAGTAAGTAATAAATAAATTTAACTACCAATCACATGATAACACTAGCGAAAATTGGCTACATGAATTAATAACAAACTAACGACAAACCAAAATCATCATTTGAGAAAGATCTGGTCGTGTTGTAATCAATAATCTCACGCGAAATTTTGTTTATTTTAAAAAGAAAATAGAAAAAGAAATAGAAAAATGTAATTTGGCGGTTTTGCCCATACTGTACTGGCATAAGGAAAACCTTGGCAATTCTGTGTTCTCTGTCCCTCCCTAAAGAATGTCTCAAAACGAGAACTCATTCTCCGATTATGGATCACTACCCCACCCCACCCCCGCCCCAATCTGCACCGGAAAACCCCCACGTCCACCGCCGCGAGCTTTCAAACCGCCGCTGCCTCCGGTAACTCCCATTTTACGCAATAGATCCGATTACGCGACGCGCCGCCCATGGCGCGTGTTCTTCGATTACACCTCCTTCTCCCGCCCGTACGATTCCGCCGAGGCCATGTCGCGCGTGCACCGCAACCTCAACTACTTCCGCGTCAACTACGCCATGGTTATTCTCACCATCCTCTTCATCAGCCTTGTGTACCACCCGATCTCCATGATCGTCTTCCTGGCCGTCTTCGTCGCCTGGTTTTTCTTGTACTTCTACCGGGAAGACCCGGTGGTGATCTTCGGCAAGACGTTTGGGGACCGCCCCGTTTCGATCGTATTGGGTTTGGTGACGGTTGTTGCCTTGGTGTTTACTCACGTTGGGGTGAATGTGCTGGTGGCGCTGATCATTGGGGTTCTGGTTGCGGGGATTCACGCGGCGATTAGGGGCACGGAGGATTTGTTTTTGGATGAGAATGAGGCTTCGGAAGGGGGATTGGTCTCGGTAGTGAGTGAAGGGCAAATCAGGCCCGGTCATATTTCTCCCACACTCCGGTGATGGGTTTCTCGCAAATTTTTGGCTTCTTTTTTTTTTTTTTTTTTTTTTTTTTTTTCTCTTAATTTGAGTTCAAGATTTGAATCGATCGAATTGCTTGGAGATCCCAATTTTGAAAATTTGGATACAATTGTTCTTGTCCCCCAACTTGGCTTTATATTTGTGGTTTGGTGTTGTTGCTTCCCGGGAATATATAGTGAAGAAGAAGGCTTTTTCAAGAATGAAGCAGCAGAGTAGACTGTGTAGAACAGGTAAAATTTGGGGGGGAAGGTGAATTCTTTTTACCTCTTGTTATTTTGATCTTATAGAATGAGGTTGATGTTTGTTGTGTTCAATTAGGTTTGGCCACTACCCACTAGTTTTTCTTTTGATATTGTGAGTAAGAACTAGCTGTAGAGTCTGCTTTTTTGTTCAATTAAAAGTCTTTTGATTTCATTGTATGTTTTCTTGCTGGTCTCTTTAAACTTCAAGTTGTGATGATTTGACACCCAAAAAAAAATGAAAAATAAATAAAGAAAAAAAGATACTTGAGAGTCTTGATTATCTGCATTTGGTTGAATCCAGTCAGCAAAACTGGATGGTAATGGATAGATATTATGTATATATATTATAGGCTTTCAAGGGTGTGGTTTTTCTTGATCTTTTGCAATAGGTTTTGTAGTGGATTGCTTATGAAACACTGGTGCTAATAGTCAACAATTGTATAGTAGTTTTGAACATTAAATTAACTCCTGTGGCTCCTACTTTTCGTTGTCTGTCGGCTAACTGATGCCTGCACAACCATTCTTTTTGATTGATCATTGTAAAGCCTCTAATGATTGCTCATAAGAACTGTTTGCAAGTGAAAATCGATTTGATTCTTGCTAAATTTTTGTTGGGAATAGTTCTCTTGATGCCATCCATTTGAAGATTTTGAATGAAGGGAACTTGGTAGACCATAAAGTTGGACACTAGCTGTTTTGACTTCCATGGAGCCAGCCATGCACCTTCTTAATTAAGTTTCCTATGGTATTAGCAACCCAAAATATTCTGGTTTTAAGTTGTATGAATTATTTAAATTGATTGGCTGGGTTGTTGTCTATTATTGACAATAACAGCTGATAGTTCAGTGTTTACCAACCCAACCCAGCAGCTCTGCCCTTGTTGTATCACTTTCTTTAATTGTTGGGAGTTTGAGCACAAGACATCTTTTTAGAGTGGGACAGAGTATTTGCTAAGCCCCTTGTTTGGACACTACAGACTTTTATGCCTCTATTGACAACATGGCACTCACCGGGGTAACCCCAGCCAAGATGGCAAGAGATCCACACTTGTAACCACAAGGTCACGAGTTCAAATCATTGCCTCCTTGGTTTGAGTCAGTCAGCTCTGGGTAACCTAGGCTAGTTTACGGGGTTTACCAGAGAGCCAGGTTTCAAATGCTTGGAACTGTGCCCGCACCGGGGTAATCCCAACCAAGATGACAAGAGATCCACACTTGTAATCACAAGATCACGAGTTCGAATCATTGTCTCATTGGTTTGAGCCAGTCAGCTATGAATAACCTAGACTAGTTTACTTCTTTGCGGTTCTTTGCTGGCTAGGATCACAAGGTAGGGTTTACCCACGCCCGAAAGGGTTGTGAGGTTTCCCTCGTTATCCAAAAAACATGGCACTCACCAGTCACCAGAGAGCCAGATTTCAAATGCTTGGGACTGTGGTGCATTAAGCTCCTCCCTCCCTGCCTCATCTCTGGGGGAGCCAAGTAATTGACTGCCAAAAGTTTAGGCATATGAAGTGACCACTATATAATAGTCCAAAGATCATAGCTCTATGTGAAAGTTGAAGTCTGCTCTTGAATGTGCAGGGGCAGTTTGATGCATAATTCTTTTGAGACTAGGGGAACTAAAACTTAGAGACATGGGTCTCTTTTTGCTTATCAATAAATAAAAATTGTTTTGGATCCAAAATTAAGATTGAGAAAAATAAATATTTCTCATTTAAAACTCACTTGTTAATAATACTTTCCAATTTTTTTCTAAATATATAAGTATATACTTCATCACCAATACCAACAAGTTTTTGCCTTACCTATCGGCTTACCTTCACTTCAGTTTTATTAGGCTTTTAGCTACCTAAGTATACTTATTATCTGTCAAAGGCCTTGTGGTCGAGTGGCATAGCTGTGGGCCTGTGGCCCTTCAAATGGGAGGTCTTAGGTTCGAATAAAAAAGTACACTTATTATGTATTGTATCTATTTAGGTTGAGAAAATATGTATGAAGAGATACTACATTGTAATAGAGTAATAGTATTAAAAAAAAATACACTTATTATGTATGGTATCTATTAATCATTATATACTTATTATCACCATCCCACTTGCCATCACGATCATTGTTTTCACTACAGCATACTCTATCTAGCATTACTCCATATTTATTACATTTTACATGCCAGGTTTATAATTCATTGATCAAATTAAGCATTCTTTCTTTACTTATTCTCTTTAGAGATAAAGGTTAAAAAAAAATGCTCTCAAATTATTCACACAATAAAAATTATGCTATCAAACATTAAAAAAAAAAAAAAAAAAAAAAAAAAAACCTATGATTGAATGGCTAAACTCGTAAAATGGTACAATTGAAATTGTTAAGAGCATTTTCAATAAACATGGATTTTGAGGAGTTTTTGTAGAGGTGATTAGGAGAGAATAGAAGACATGGATTTTGAGGAGTTTTTGCAGAGGTGATTAGGAGAGAGAGAAAGAAGAAGACGAAGAAGAAAAAAAAAAACTGCAAATGAAATAACGTGCCTGACTAGGTGCTCTTGTTGCACATAACGCGCAATAGGGAGCAGTTTCACTGATTTGATGGGGTTCACACATTTGACAAAAATCAAGGTCTTCCTTGCAAAGATCTAAATTACTCTCTCTCTCTTCCACATAAGATTACATTTCCTCAAAGACCACCCCAAAGTCTCTATTGGGATGCTCTAAGAGGTTTTATTGAAATTTTATTGTGTGCCTTCCAAATATTATAGTTAGAATTGATGTGACTTTCTTATTCAAATTACAAAAAAATAAAAAATAAAAAATAAAATAAAATAAAAACAAAAACAAAATTTCATGGAAAAAAAAATAAAAAATTATGGCAATGATTTTTGCATCCAGATTAGGATATGACTTCTTTGCCCAACTTTAAGATGGACATAAATTGTTGTGTTCTTGCAGAGTATTAACTTAGAAAGTCTTTAGTTGAGCGTTGATTCCAAACTTTTACAACTTGCAAGGCTCTCTCTTCTGTACAACTTACATTTAATTGGGATTCATTTGAAAGAGTGGCTAACTAAATATACAATGATTCAATAATTCTTCAGTACAACAACAAGTTTCATTATTTCTTTTTACTGTTATTCTGCTGAATTTTGCTTCATCTCTTTCACCGGGGATGATTCCTTCATCATCTCTTCTTCCACTTCCACTGGATTCTCCTCCTTCATCTCTTTCACCAGAGACGATTCCATCATCATCTCTTCTTCCACTTCCACCAGATTCTCCTCCTGTATCTCTTCCACCGCAAATGATTCCTTCATCTCCATTGCTTCTTTAACCGATTTGGGTCTGCCTTTCACTATGATGCTGCTTTCTTCAGTGTAAGAGCCAATGCTATGACGGGCCTTTGCACACCCTTTCTTCTCCTCCGGATATGAAATGAACACATCGCTGCAGCTTTTTCTTCGTGCAAGGTTTGGCAATTTTGCACGAGTCACAGGCAACTATTATCATATCAACACGGTGAATAATGTATCAGTATTTAGTCGTCTGTCCTCTAAACAAATTTGATTGGAGCACAGCCTAAATGTCATTTTGGACCAGGCTATTTATCGAGTAACCCCAGTCAAGTTGGTTAAAGATATAAACTTGGAACTATTACAAGGTTACAAGTTTACCTTCTTAACTTCAGCCTTTGGAGGAGGTCCTTCGCGGTAAAAGTTAGGAACTGGATTTGCTTTGTACACCATGGATTTCCTAAGCTGCCTTATAGCTGCTTCCTCCATTTCCTAGGATTAATTAATTATAGAGGGAATACTGATAAAGCTAAGAAAGCTGCAAAAAAACACAAAGATATATATATATATATATATATATATATATATATATATATATATATATAGTTTAAGAAACATTGTAATAAAACCTTGGCTCTGGCAGCCTGTTCTTGTTTCTCTGCTTCCAAAGCCTTGTGTTTCTCCTCCATCTTCATGTGAAACTAATAAGATGCATGAAACACATTTTCTTTAATTTCGAATATAAACTTCATTCAACCCTATATATATATAAATATATATAGAAAACAAAATAAAATACCTCCTTACGCCCACATTTTCTTTAATTTCGAATATAAACTTCATTCAACCCTATATATATATAAATATATATAGAAAACAAAATAAAATACCTCCTTACGCCTTGCTGCCCGCTCTTCAGATCTAAATGTTGGTCCTAATGGTATAGTAACTTTGAATTTGGTGCCTCTCACAGATGATCCTCCTGATCTATGCAAGCTAAGGATGTGGGGAAAAACACAACCTTTTCAATTCAATTCCCAGTAATGATACAAAATTTTACATTACAAAGCTAGGATACGAAGACACCAAGGAACAACTATCTTCTTCTTCTTCATGATCTTTGCGATCATCCAGCTGCTGCTGCTGTGATTTTATTGAAACCTCGGGAGAATTTTCCTGGGACAACCCGAAAATCAGTCTTTCGACACATGAAAATAGCATGGCATTTCTTCACAAATTTTCAAATTAAACTAGCAAACAAGAGGGCATGCAGCAGAATTATCACACCAGTGGTTTATTGGGGGTCTCGAGATCATTAGGATTCGCTGAATGGCTCGAGCCAGCATCAACAGTCTCGGGAATAGCATGATCCTCAGTTCCAAGATCTGATGGCTTTGAAACAATGGGATTTTTGTCATTCATGGGCAAGCTTAACTTGTTGTGACTCGACTTTAGAGTACTCTTGCCCTTCACAGCTTTCTCCTCCTCGTTCATCATGTCTGTATTGCGATTCATGCTCTTAACAGATAAAACGTCTTGCTTCTCGCCATGATCTTCTGCCTTGGTGTCCTTTGTTTCAACTCTCTCTAATGAAATGTTGTTGGAAACATTAACTGCATTATTTGGTATGAAATTGACCACAGCAGGTTTATTTGAAGTTCGATTGCCAGTTACATCCCTCCCCATCTCACTGCACCGAAGAAGAACAAGACCATAAGCACTCTGTTGAGGCCAGGGCAAAGTCCAGCACCCTGTCTCTCGAAAATGGAGTGGCGGTATAAGGAAAATAAAATTGCGTCTTCGCTACTAGCTATAGTTTTTTATATAGTGATAACCGTTTGATGGGTATCAAAGCCAAGTCTGAGGATAAAGATTTTAATTTTCTCTGAATCTTAGAGCCTAGGAAATAAAGATTTCATATATCCAGCATCAATTTTAAAAATTATGAATAGATATGTAAATCAATGCAACAGCTACATGAACATTGATTATTGCAACAAAGAAACGAAAAACACCTTTCCAACAGAAAGATAAAGGCCCTGTAAAATGGTACAATCGTAATCGTAAACAACTAATATGAGTGCTTCATTAATTAGCTTTTTGTAATAGCTTATTCCTCCAAAACATTAAAATTCAAAAAGTTGCTCAAAACAACTTTATCGATAAGCTTTTTGAGAAATTCATTTTGTATGTAATTAGCTATCAATTAACAGCTAATTTATCAAACATCTTTATACAACCAGCTAATGTTATCAACTAATCAAACCACTAATCCAATAAGCTAATAGCTATCAGTTATTTACCAAAACCCCCAAAATAAAAAGAGCAATCAAGAAAACAAAAATGTCCAATCTTTGGATCCAATTATCCCCAACAACAAAATGCATGCAATTAAGTGCAAGAACCCTCACCCTTAAAATTCTGAATGCAAAAAATGATGAACTGATAAAGGAAAAGGTTGAATGTTTGTATTCTCTATCCAACCATTGCCACCACATTTACCCAAAGATTGCAGTTTCTCAAGACCAAAAAGCCCAGATTTTTTAGGCTCAAATACCCATTTTCACATGCCAACAATTCTTGGAAAATGAAAGATAAAAGCATAAGAAAACATAGCAAATGAGGCGAGGCAGAGCTAAATTAAAGCTATCTTTCTTTCAAGAAAGGGAAATGGAATGATTGAAAAGACAAAGTTGCAGATTGAAGCATGAAGAGATTGAGGAAACAAAAAACTTACAAAGATTTAGGCTTCGAGGGCAGTTGGCGATTTACACAAAAAGATAGAAGGGATTTCTGTCCCAGAATGCGATCACCCCTCTCTCCGTATAAACATAGAATCAAACAAGTTTCTGCGTTTCACGTTGAAATTATTACTGCCCCTTCCTAAGTCCAACGGCTCCTATATCCTATGCCATTTTCTTTTCTTTTCTGTCTATTTTATCATTTTATTCTTTTTTTTTTTTTTACTGTCGTTGTTTTTTTCGTCTCATTTTATTTTTTTTTTCATTTTTTTTATTTATTCTTCCTGGTTAGTGTCAATCTCGGAACCGTTATTCAGTTATTGTCGGATGGTTACCTTAAATTTTGAATTATTGCCTCATAAGTCATACGGAGTAAATCACAATTTTGTGGGGTTACCTAGTACCTACAGTCTCATGCTGTAAATATTTTGGTGGCAATTTGGTTCAAATTTGAGGATTTGAATCTTTGGGACTAAATTTTTTTTAATTAATTATAATAGGTTTTAGTAAAAATAAGTCAATTAAAATTATTGGAAAATTCTATTGGGTGCATTGTGTCAGATTATACAAATTACAAATGAGTTAATCCTAAAATGGTCATCGAGTATGATTATTTTTTCTGATTTTGTCTTAAACAATTTTTGTGAGCCAATGTAGTTTCAGATTTGTATGTTTTACTTAATGTAGTCCTCCATTTGTTATTTCGTCTAATTGATATTTAATAGAGGGACAATTTGATAATTGCAATATTTGCCACTCATTTACCCTCTTTCACCATCTTCAATTTGTCACTCTCAATTTGTCATTCTTTTCAAATTTCGTATCTTTTTCATTCTTAATGTCATACTTGTTTATAGCTTCTTTAAACTATTCTCTACTAGCAAATGTTAATCCTTTGCAATAGATGGGGGTTTTCATGTCAGTTACGTTTAAGAGGGTAAATAAGAGGCAAATATTGCAATTACCAAATAGTCCATCTATTTAACACCAATTAAACATAATAACAAATGAAGAACTACATTGAGCAAAATCACACATGTTTAGGATTACATTAAGTTACAAAAGTCGTTTAGGACAAAATCGAGAAAATTCACCATAGTTGATGACCATTTTGAGTATTAATTCAATTACAAATAGTAACATAATTATTTAATGTAGGGTGATGTCTAATTCCAATGTAATCTATGGAAAAGGGGTCAAATAAGCCTATAAATTTTACTCGAAAAGTCAATTAGGACCCTAAACTTTTAAAAAGTACGATTAAGCACACCAACAAATGACTTGAAGGATATATGATATGCATGATTTTTCATAAGTCAAGAAGTTGGGTCAAATGGCTCTACTTAGCAGAATTTTGGTACAACACAAATTGTATATCATTATAAGTCAAAAAGTTGGGTCAAATAGCTCCACTTAACAGAATTTTGGTACAACACAAACCATATATCATTAGTTAAAAAGTTGGGTAAAATAGTTCCACTTAACATAATTTTGGTACAACACAAACCATATATCATTCTTCTCTCAAGTGTACACCATTTCAGGCCTTGTATGAGTATGTGTATGTCCCTCCCATGATGGCTATATAGAACAATTATGGAGAAGAGAGGCACAACTGAAGTGATGAGAGATCTGCTATGATGATTGTATTGAAGGATAACTTGAAGCAAGCACAAAACAAAATGAAACAGCAAGCAGACAAGAGAAAAAGCGAGAGGACCTTGGAGATAAGGGATTGAATTTATCTAAAAATTCAACCCAATAGACATACTCCGATGACAGTTAGAACCAATTTAAAGTTATCTTATAAACAACCGTTATGCTATGGACCCGTGTCCAGCATGCATTGTGGACACAGTAACGGTGTTATCTTCCACTTTTTTAAAAAAAAATAAAAAATTTCAGACCGCTTCGTTATAGGAGTATATGTTCATAATTTTATCACTATATGTTCATAATTGTAAGTTCATAATGTCAGAGCTCTGTGTTCATAATTCCATAATCGTACATTCATACTTCCATAATTGTACATTCATAATTCCGTAACTGTACATTCATAATTCAATAACTGTAAATTCATAATTTTCGAAGCTCTATGTTCACAATTTTAGAGCTCTATGTTCATAATTTTATCACTATATGTTCATATCGTAAGTTTATAATGTCAGAGCTTTGTGTTCATAATTCCATAATTGTACATTCATAATTCTATAACGTAACTGTACATTCATAATTCCCTAACTGTACATTCATAATTCCATAAATGTACATTCATAATTTTCGAAGTTCTATGTTCACAATTTTAGAGCTCTATGTTCATAATTTTATCACTATATGTTCATAATTGTAAGTTCATAATGTCAGAGCTCTGTGTTCATAATTCCATAACTGTACATTCATAATTCCGTAACTGTACATTCATAATTCAATAACTGTAAATTCATAATTTTTGAAACTCTATGTTCACAATTTTAGAGTTCTATGTTCATAATTTTATCACTATATGTTCATAATTGTAAGTTCATAATGTCAGAGCTCTGTGTTCATAATTCCATAATTTACATTCATAATTCCATAACTGTACATTCATAATTGCATAACTGTACATTCATAACTCCATAACTGTACATTCATAATGCCACAAACGAATAATGTTGTTAATGGCGAGACAAAATAAAATAAAATAAAAAATTTAACTGGAAGACCGCGTTTTTCCTTAAAATGACGTCGTTTTGGACTCGTGTCCACAATGCATTGTGGACACGAGTCCACAACATAATTTGCGTTTGGTCCACTTTGGTGGTTAATTGGATTCAATTTTTTAGTGTGATTTGGTCCATGTACATTATAGCTCAGTTGAGTAACCCGAGCTCAATTTTATTTTTTTTTTGATTTTTTTTTTCTTTTCACGGTTGATAACTTTTTCAATCGTTATGATGTGCATGGTGCATACGATTGCAAAAACGACGTCGTTTTGACGTCTAACTTAAAAAAAATTCTGGATATTTAGTTCATTCATTCTGGTTATTTAGTTCATTCATTCTAGATATTTAGTTCATTCATTCTGGATATATAGTTCAAATTATGCACAACATAACTCCGTTGACAGAAATCAAAACTGATTTTTTTTTTTCATTCATTCTAGATATTTAGTTTATTCATTTTGGATATTTAGTTCATTATATTCATTCTGGATATATAGTTCAAATTATGTACAACATAACGCCGTTGACGGAAATCGAAACTGGTTTTTTTTTCATTCATGCTGGATATTTAGTTCATTCATTCTGGATATTTAGTTCATTCATTCTGGATATATAGTTCAAATTATGCACAACATAATGTTGTTGACGGGAAAAATCGAAACTAATTTTTTTTTAAAAGTCGGACGCGCGTTTTTAATCAAAACGACATCGTTTTTACAACCGTGTACACCACGGTTGCCCAGCATAATTTGCCTAATTTTTTTTGTTAGTTTTCTTTTGTTCTTTGAAATATATGTTATGCACATAAGTATTGTATTTGTGCATCAATTTTTGGCCCTTCTGGTTTTGTATTTTCATTGTCTGCCTTTTTATTTTTTGATTAATCTGTAATTAGGGATATTCCGATGAGCTTCATTCTAGCTCAACTGCTAAGTGATTATGTGAGTTCCGGATAGTGGTTAGATGATATTCTTACAGTTTTCATGTCTAGAAAAGCATTTTAAAGTAGATATGAAGTTGGGTTTCTAGCTGCCATTCTGTGACTGTATCTGGACTTGGGTAGCATACTAGCATTGTATTATCTATGATGAATAATATCTGTTGGCTTTCCTCATTTTAAAGTAGATAGGAAATTGTGTTTCTATACTAGTTGATATGTATTTGTGTTGTGAAAGGGGGAGATGATGCCAATATGTGTAGAGTTGATTGTTTTTAAAAAATTAGCTATATATATATATATATATATATATATATATATATATATATATATATATATATTTTTTTTTTTTTTTAAAGTATCCACGATACTTCTTTTCAAACAAGTGTCGCGGATACCCTTTAATTTCTTTTTGAAAAAAAAAAAATCGCAACACTTTCTGGGAATAAAGTGTCGCGGATTCTTAGCTTTCTGCGACACAACGACAAGTGTAGCAGAAAGCTTTGGCTTTTTCGCGACACCCACATATATCCGCTATACTTATATAAGTGTAACGGATGTGTAGTTCTGTACTAGTGAAATAATGTAGGTATAATATAAAGGTATTGGCCCTCATTGTTATTGACCATTAGATCCAAAGTTGTACGTCATTTAAGTTCCAAAAGAGAAATTTTCGTTAATGTTGTCTTATGACATGCCGATAAATAAGAGTCATGGGTAAACTCTATCTAATGTTAGGTTATTTTTGAAGAAATCAATTTGTGTACATGGACAACTGTACGTTGTTTTATCTAGAGTTGCAAATCAAATAGTCTTAGAATACTTATTAGCAATGACAATGGAGAGTATTCATCTTCAACTACAAATGTTATATATAAGGTCTTTAATAATTTGTACTTACAATTTGTAAATTTTATTTTTGTGCTTGAGGCTTGAGCTTTGTAATAACTATAAACTGGCTACATATTACCTAAACCCTTCTTGATTTAGACAATATTACACACACACGCACACGAAACTGAAGAAAAACAAAAAGAAACAAAGAAGATATATATGAACAATTATTGTATTTTTGTGATGATGAGAAGCTGACAAATTACTGATATTTTTTGAAGAAAAAAAAAATACACTTAATAGGTTATGAATAGCTAATAGCTAGTCTAATACCAAGAGGATCTTTGGAATTATTATTTTCATTGCAAAAGAATAGTCATTCAGCGGAATTTTATTCCTTACTATAAAAATTGAACCATACAATAAAATAGATCTATTCCACTAAATAACATTTAATTCTCAATGTATTCCATCAACCAAACCAAACATTACGTACTAGTTAACCCCAAGAAAACGCACAAAGGTTAGGTTCTTATCAATTATCAGCTGGGATGTCTTGTTTGGCACAAATGCCGCCGCATCATAGAAATTGTGAATCGTCTTCTACGAAAATATTGAGAGCTGATGTCACTTTTTTTTTTTAATAATAATTTCATAATTCTTCTTCCAAAAGGCTGAACCCCAACCCTAAGGGCATAATTTCCTAATTCTTCACACAACTGTAAAGTGAACAAGAACAAATATACAATAATTGCTCTGCTCACACATATAGCATTAGAGCATTTTCAATAGATGGAGATTTTAGTTAGTTTTTGCAAAAATGATAATTAAAAAAACATGAGAGAGAGAAGGGAATGGAGAAAAAAAAAAGATTAACAGATATAACGCGCCCAGCAAGCACGGGTAATGACACGCCCAACAGGCGTGTGAAATGCACACGCCCAACAGGCGCGTGTAATGCACGTGGTTTCAGATTATGAATTTAATTATTGTCGTCATACATCTCAATTTGGATTGTATGTCAAACAATAAGTTCAAAAGATTCTACAATTATTAATGTTGTATTTGTTCATATAAATTCATAGTTCAAATTATTGGACGTTTGGTCGTGCAACATATTTATGAAAATGTTGTAACAATACTAAGGAATTTATTAGAACAAAAGCATTTAACTTGTGGTGCACTGACATCTACGCGCAACTAATGAGAAAGACTTGTTTTTTTTTTATTTTTATTTTTTTTCGGTGGGACAGTGGGTCCCACAATAAACCAAATCTTGCATGAGGAACCAAGTTTCTCTCTCTTCCACATAGATGTAAAAGCTGCAAAAATTATCCAAAATCCCCCTATTAGGAATATCGTAGCATCTTAGGTAAGAGGATAAGTGCTTAGTATATATATATATATATATATATATATATATATATATATATATATATATATATATATATATATATATATATATATATATATATATATATATAAAACTCATTAATTATTAGGTATCAGGCCTTCATCTTTATCTATAATTTATCACCTAAGTACTAACTGAGTTGTGAACACATTTGCATATATTCGCAATGAGCATGGATGAGCGAAAATGTGTGAAACTTAAAGAAATGGTAAGACATAATGGTACATCCAGAAAATTTGAAAATATTATTTTGTAGGGGCCGAGGAAATATGATTTTAATCTTTTGATTGTTCGTATTTGATCAAAACTTACTGATGTTATGACTTACACATGGTTCTCTGTAGCGGGCCGAATTCGGTTTTAGAACTTCTTTGAAATAACGTGTCATTAGGTCTATCAAATTTTATTAGAATTTTTATACTAATTTGATCTGATATCATGAAATTATTCGTGTAAATTTCTCTCTTTCTACCTTATTTTCAATCGTATCAATTATTGTTATTTAAGATGAATTTTGCTATATATTCTCTTTATGTTTCCCATGCGAAACCAGAAGTAAAGTAGAAAGATGAGAATTTACACATCAAAATGGAGAATAAGATCGAGATACACAAATGATCTCTTAGAACATTGGTATAAAAATCCTAAGTATTTGTTACTTGGAATTTGGAAAGTATAATCGGTATAAGAATCCTAAATATTTGTTACTTGGAAAGTAGAATCACAATAATCGTACAAAATTGTGATGACATTTAATTTGCAAGTTTAATTACTAAAATGATGGCTTTTTTTTTTTTTATTCAATAATTTTTACATACAGAATCAGATATTTTCATAATATTTAATTTTTTACTTTCATAATTGGAAGGAATTTAGAAATTCTACTATTTATAGGAAAAAGTTGTACAATTGTATAGATTTGATCATGACGAATTTACAATGAGATCAGTGGAGTATCCATATATATATATATATATATATATATATATATATAGCTAATTTGCAACAATGGTCCTCCGACTATAGTGATTTTTCAAAATTAATCTCCGACTTTTAATTTGGACACTTTAGGTCCCTTGGCTTTCAATTTCTTTCCAATTGAGGTCCTTTCGTTAAAATACGGTTCATTAGACTTTAAATGAAGGGGTAAACTCGTTCTTTCACTTGCCTATGTATTATTCTTCGTATTTCTCCCTTCGTATTTCGCTGTTATACCTTGTAAACATCTCAATAATAGAGGAACGCGCACACGAGTAGTCAGCAAATGGGGAACGACGAGGAACATTTTAGGGTTCCGACTAAGATTATCTTCATGTATATCGCTACAATGGGGAAATACTAAGAATAATACATAGGCAGGTGAAATGATGAGTTTACCCCTTCATTTAAAATTTAATTAACCGTATTCTGACGAAAGGACCTCAATTGAAAAGAAATTGAAAGTCAAGGAACCTAAAGTGTCCAAATTAAAAGTCAATGACTAATTTTGGAAAATCAATATAATCGGGGGACCATTGCTGAAATTAACTCTATATATATATATATATATCATATGGAGTGAATTATTCATACACTAAAAAAAGACATGCAACTTATGACTCATTTCACAGTGGTTGTCGGCCTTCTACTTTTAGCGTTGCTCTACGTTGTGTCATGGCGAAGAAGGAACACCACCACCAGCGGCGGTGGAACATTACCTCCGGAGGCGGCTGGTGGGTGGCCCTTCATCGGCCACCTCCACCAACTCCAGGCGCCGGTTCCTCTGGTTCGGACTTGGGGCGCGTTCGCCGATAAATATGGGCCCATATTCACCGTCCGCCTCGGGATTCCTCGAGCTGTGGTGGTTAGTAGTTGGGAAGCCGTCAGGGATTGCTTCGCCACCAACGACAAAATCTTTGCCGCCCGCCCAGATTTATGTGCAGGTAGGCTAGGCTAGCTACCTTCAATTCCATTCTGTTCCTCTCTGCTCTTTATTTAGATAATTTAATCATTTAATTGTTAAGCTGAAGAGATTATTGCCAATTCCACCAAATCAGATGTGCCAAACAGCATCAACTATCAAGATTTTCTCCTTTATTGTTGAGTATCTCTCATCTCATATAATAAATATGAGCAAAGCGGTGTGGGTCATATACTCATATTTGTACATGTTGTTCTCTTTTTTGTTTTTTTTTTTGAAAATATCTAGAGGTGTTGTTTGTATCTCTAGATAGGTGTTATCTAATTTAGCCCCCCTAGTAACATTGCGAAATCATATAAATCTTACTAGGGATGACAATGTGCCTCGTACCCGTCGAGGATCTCCGTCCCCGTCAGAGACAGGACAAAATTCGGGAATCAGGGACGGGGACGAGAACAGGGACGGAATGGCCCCGTCCCGCCCCGCCCGTCCCCGAATAATATATATATATATATATATATATATATATATATATATATATATATATATATATATATATATATTTCTGCCTGTCGCACAAGTAACTGATACACTCATACTCATATTTAAATTTTGCATTTAAACAATAAGCATAAATCATTCTTCCAAAAGGTTGAACCCCGACTCTAAGGGCTCCTCACACCCTGACCTGATAGAGCATTTGAGAGGATGTAAATCATGATAACTCAATTGAACATAAACCACAGAGGCTAGACATTTGCTTACTGCGCACAAGGAGCCCCTCACTTTGAGAGGAATAAGCATAAATCATAATATCATATATTGTGTACTGTGTATTGAATATTGAATTAAGCATAAATCATATTCTTACATACTGATATGGTGTATATATTATATATTATTTCAATTTTTTTTCTTTTTTATTTTAAAAGTTATACTAATTTGACACTTTGACTATAGGTTGACTAGGGATGGGGATTCTCCGTCCCCGCCAAATTTCTCATGGGGACGGGGACATGGACGGGAAATTTTTTCAAATCCCCACCGGGGACGGGGAGTATTCTCCCCGCCCCGTTGCCATCCCTAAATCTTACCATTAAAAATCCACATGAAAATATAGCTAATTCTATTTTTGGTCTTAAATTTATATGTGACAGTCCTTTTATAATTTTTTTTTCCAGAACACTCTCCTTTGGTTCTAGTATTATTGTGGTATAATCATTTTTTGTATTCTGTCAACAACATCATTGAAATGTCAACACTTTGATCTTTTTTATACAAAGCGATTTGATATGCTATGTTTTTGTTTTTATTTGTATGAAAAAAATCATAATTGAAGACCTAAATGTCATTGTACTTTACGAAATTTAAACAATTCTGTTGATAGAAGACAAAAAATGGTCATACCACACAATAATGCTAGAACTAAAGGAGGACGTTCTGCAAGAAAAAAAAAAAAAAACTAAAAAGCTAAGTGAATTATCACTTGTAAATCAAAGGACAAGAAATGGAATTAACTTAGGTTTATAAAGTCATGGGTTAGACTAGCTAATTAATTGGATTTAATTGTAGTTTGGCCAATTTGTATTATAGCCTATTTTAGTAACCTTGGTCGTTCAATCTTAGTTTATAGCATGGTATTAGAGTTTGTCCGGTGCACTTTGTGTTCACCCGTCTATTGTCTACCCATGGTATTGGTGGCATCCAAACATGGTACCAGAGCTTGTTCGATCCACATTATTTCACACAGTACCCGTAGTATTGGTGGCAATCAAGAGAGCAGGAGCCCGCTTGTTTGATCCACTTTGATGGTGTTAAAAGCGGGTCTTAATTTATAACTCCCGTATAGCTGAATCATATAAATCTTACATTTGTTTGGTCCACTTTGGTAATCTTATAACACCAGTAGTAACATTATTACCAACCATATAAATCTTACCTTCTTTACGGTGTTGTCATGTATATTGTTGCTGCAGGTAAATATCTTGCGTACAACTTCGCAGTGTTTACATGGGCAACGTACGGTCCATATTGGCGGAAAATGCGGAAGTTGTCGGTGGTGGAATTACTGTCTAACAAAAGGCTTGACCAGCTGAAACATATTTGGATCTCTGAGCTGCAGGCTAACATCAAAGAATTGTACACTTCAATCGCCACTGATGATAGCAACAACAACGTTGATTCTCCGACAGCCGCTAAGGTAGACATGAGCCGATGGTTCGAGCAATTGACCTTAAATATGATTGTGAAGATAGTTGCTGGGAGGAGATACGAGTACAGGGGAGATGATGGGGTTGAAGACCAAGAGGCTCGAGCTTTGAAACAAATATTCAAAGAAAACATGTTTCTTGCAGGCCAAATTGTATCCGGAGATGCACTATCTCCATCCTGGTTGTTTAGATGGTTGGATATTGAAGGTCATATTAAGTCCATGAAGAGGGTTGCTAAAGCAAAGGATGCCATTTTTCAAGATTGGGTCAATGAACATGTCAACAAGAAGATCGAGAAGAAAAACCCGCAGTCATTATCTGCCGGGGATGAAGCTCGGGATATTATCGATGTCATGATTTCTGTGATCGACGACAAATTTATGGATGGCATTAGCTTTACACGTGACACCATTATCAAGGCAACAATCCGGGTATGTTAGATTATTGAGTTTTCTATTGGGGTGTTTGGTAAATGGCTGAACAGCCAAAATTTTAGCTGATCAGTCATTTTAGTGTTTTGACCTATCCAATAATTAGGTAAAGGTCATTATATATGTAATAAGTTATCAGTTAACAGTTAATTTTACCAAACACTTTTTACATCTAACTGTTATTAGCTGGTCAAACCAGCTAACTCAATCAGTTGTTTGATTTTGCATGCAGAGTATGCTTTTGGATGGTGTTGACACCATTGCCGTTCATTTGATATGGGTGTTATCTGAGATGTTGAACAATAGACATGTTATGAAGCTAGCTCAAGAAGAGATAGACACCAAAGTTGGAACAGAAAGGCTTGTTGAAGATTCCGACATTGAAAATCTAGTATACCTACAAGCTGTCGTCAAAGAAACATTGCGGTTGCATCCACCATTGCCTTTCCTAGTACCACACGAAGCCATGGAAGATTGTACTGTGGGCGGTTATCATATTCCAAAGGGCACTCAGTTGTATGTGAACGTATGGAGGCTGCACCGAGACCCCGAGATTTGGTCCCAGCCCGAGAAGTTCCTACCCGAGAGATTCTTGGAGGCGGACGTGGCTGCAAATCGCCAATTTCAATTCATCCCGTTTGGTTCTGGGCGACGATCCTGTCCTGGAATGTTATATGCTATGCGAGTTACACATCTTACGCTTGCTAGATTACTTCAAGGTTTCAATTTTAGTACGGTTTCAAATGCGGCATTGGACATGACAGAAGGCCTTGGGATCACTCTGCCTAGAGCAAATCCACTGGAGGTGCTTGTTACCCCTCGCCTACACTATGTTCTCTAGGGACAATATCACAAAATACATCATGTAGGACTCGCCAAATAAGAATCCCAAACCCAAGGGTCCCCCACACTCCGCCTCGACAGAGTATTTGGGAGGAAGATGATTGGTATTATGCTGCCTAAAGTAAATAGTTTGTGCTCTGTAAGTTTGTTGTGAAGTTAATTATTAGCATTAATCTTCTTGAGTGCTTAATTGCTTAGTATGGATTGTGTATGTTAGTATAATCTGAACCTCTTCCTCAGTTGTATTTTAGGGGGTTAATAGAAATAACGAGTGAATAGGGATACAATATAAACTTGAGTTTATGTGAGCATGGATTTAGGAGTATAATCAAGACTAAAAGCCAGCAGATTAAGATAGATTGGAACTAGGGATGCAATTTTAATTCGCCCGTCGGATATTCACCCAAATACACACCATGTAAATCATGTTTTTTTGGTGGGTTTTAAAAATCTAAACCCGTTGTGGGTTAAGTTGGATGCAAGTTTTATATACAAAAAATAACTAGTAAACTAACCATTTTCAGGCTTATTTTGCAATTCAAGACAAGAGATAATATTGGCCCTGTTTGGTAAATGGTGGGGTAATTAGAGGTAGTTGTTAACATTAGCTGATTGTAAAAACGTAAATTAGCTAAGAGATAATATTGGCCCTGTTTGGTAAATGGTGGGGTAATTAGAGGTAGTTGTTAACATTAGCTGATTGTAAAAACGTAAATTAGCTAAGAGATAATATTGGCCCTGTTTGGTAAATGGTGGGGTAATTAGAGGTAGTTGCAAATATCTAAAAACATAATATGTGTCAATACAAGTTATGTGATTTTTGTCCCTTTTTTTATATGCTAATAAATATATACATTTTACTTTAATTGTTGTATATTTCATTTGTATTTGACAAAATCACCCTTACACCGTTATAACACCGTTAATATTTAATATGTCCATCAATCTTACCATACACCTACATCTATCATATCTATTTCCTATTTTTAATTATCATTTTATTAAAATTATCATATAACAATTAATTTAATTATAAATTATATTTTAATTAAATATTTATATGAATGTTAAATTATATATATATATATATATATATAGAGGGTAGAGTTCCAGTGAGAACATTGCTTAAGTGAGAACGTGAGAACACATCATGTACATCCATCTAATATTTTTTAATGGTCTAGATTAGATTAAGTGTGTGCAAACGTGCATTAAATGTGTGCAAACGCGATTTAGTGTGTTTGCACACATTTAATGCGCATTCGCACACACTTAATATAATCTAGACCATTAAAAAATATTAGATGGATGCACATGATGTGTTCTCACCTAAGCACATGTTCTCATATGATCCTAACTCTCTCTCTCTCTCTCTCTCTCTCTCTCTATATATATATATATATATATATATATATATATATATATATATATATAATATGTATGTATGTATATTATTTGTGTATACATATCAATATATCATATATGTAGGTGTTAGCTTAGTATTATTTGTAAATTATTATTATATAAAAATATAATTTTTTTTGTTTTTGTTTCGATCACTGTATTATTCAAATATATGATAATTCAAAAGTATCATACTTTAAGGAATTGAGAAACATAATTTTAACTAATTTTGTTACTTAACAATATTTTAATATTGGGCATTGGTTTGCACACATCGCGCGTACAAAATGCTAGTTTATAGTATACAATTCAAAATAAAGAAATTGTATATATAATGATGATAGCCCACATCCATTTTTTAATGTGGGATTAAGACTCCTTCAAAGCTTTTCTAACTCTATTTTTTTATATTCAAGTTGGTATACTTTAAGAATCAATTTCTCATTCACTCATTATTAATTTTGTGTGTATAATTTATCAAATTAAACGTTTCACATAGGAGAATTTGAATCTATTTTAACCTGATTCCGTTCAAAAGTGGATCTAATTGAAAATTATACCACACAACAACCACTTTAAATAACTACTTAAATGGATATTTATGTTGTATTGTTGACATGGCCAAAACAGCTAAACAAGATTTTAAAAAAGGACACAGTGGCCTGGTCAATTGCCTTTGTTGCCATGTGACAACAATAAAGAGGGTGAGAGCCATAGTGGCAATCACCCCCTTCCTTTTGAAAAGGCAACTACACATCTGCCTCCTTTGTTGTAGGATTATTGGGGTTGGGGGACAGAGTGGAAATGGAGATTTGAAGGGGGGAAAAGAGGGAGGCGGGTTAGAGGAGAGTTATAAGAGAAAGTGGTGGTATTGTAGGCATAGTGTTAAGTGTTGGTGTTGACAAGTTTAGGCAATTTTGATTAGCGTTAACTTCATTTGATGATGAAAAAAATTATATTTGGTTTTTTATGATGCACTCCTTGTACAACAAGCTATAACCTTTCAAAAGAATTCTATCGAGCCCATGAATAGAGATGCTCAACTTGAGAAACATTTTTGGATCAAAGAGCGTCATGCCATTGACACTATAAAGGCCATGTAAACTCTGTAGACTAAATTGTTGTAGTGAGGGAAGAGGATTTCTAGAACGGGGAGGATACAATTTTTAGGTTGGAGATGGCGAGAACGTGGGTAGGGACAATGTAGTAATTGAGAGAGGCGACCCAATCCATGGCATCGGGGGTCATAGAGAATGAAAGTGGCGTCGACAGTTATTATGGAGGAACTTAATTGAGTTAATAATGGCATTGACGGTGGAAGCAAGTTGACTTGAAAGTAAAAGTAGCGATGACATTGTAGAAGAAATTGTAGTCATTGGACTTTAGCACTCTGCAGATTGCCGCTAGCTCTTGCAGAGTACCACAACCGACATCATTCATAGGGGAAGCGGCAACAACGATGACAAGGAAGAAGGGTATTAGAGGAGGTTCATAAAATAATTATTTTGTAAAAAAAAAAGAAGGAATAAGTAATAATATAATGATCTCGTTGTCCTTATGTTCACAAGAGGTTTGACGTCCGGTAACACCCGAGGATGAAAATGGTTAAAGATTTGATAGTCGAAGAATTTAATTAGATAGTTTTAAAAGACATGGACTAAATTAGTGAAATTGACATAGTTGATGGACTATTTTGGTAATTAAGAGCAAAAATGTGAGTATGCATACAGCGTACGTATGTACTCCGTAGTATTTAGTAGGGCTGAAAATGTAAAAGCACATCCGTGATCCCCTCTCCTCGATTTTCAAAACTTACAAAATTTGGCGCCTCTCTTCATTCTCTCTTCCCAGCCCAGAAGATTAGAAGAAAAACGAAGAAGCTGAAAAACCCTTTCCCCAATTCTTCTTCGTTTCCGCAAATGGTTCTCCGTGAAAGCAATCAGCTCTCGTCCCGTAAACGCCCCTCCAAACCCAACAATGCCTTCGTTCCTCCCTTTGCTCACCCTCCCAAAATCCCCAAAACCACCGCAGCCGCCGCCGTTTCGCAGTCAGCGCCGCCGCACCAATCTCAAAGCACAACCCCTGTCGATAAAATGGTTGCAGTTTTAGCTGATGCCGGTTGCACGCTGATCAACCCTACTGGTCCTCCGTGCCTCCCGTCCGACCTCCCCAAGCTCCGCCACCGCCTCCACCATCTCTTCTCATCCGACTCCACGTTGCGTTCTGAGTTCCTTCATGGCCTCTGTTCTTATATCAACTCCCCCAACAACCTTCGCCGGTCAGTTTTTCATCCTTCCAATTAACAACATAAAAGGAAATAAATATCATCTGTAGGACCAAAAAAAGAGAGTTGAAGTTAATTACTGCTCCCTCCATTTTATTTACAATTTAAATTTTCATAATATTAAGTTTAAAACTAGAGGGAGTATGATATTGAGTTACCTCCTATTGGTTAAATGTCAAAGTAATTTATACATTCAGTATTCTCTTTTGTTTTATTGTTTATTTATTTTTATGTTTTTGGGCAATTCTTCCGAAGCCTATTCTGCGGAGATTCTGTAGAAATAGGTTAGTCGTTTTGGGATGTAGCACCATCATAGGAAAATCTTTCAGAAGCTCGTAAACTGCTCTGGCAATCACTTCAAATTTACCTTCCTTTCCGCCATTTTCATGGGCATGTTCTTAGATGTTAAATGACATTGCTTATGTTGCAAGTTTAAGTGTAATATGGTGTAATAGAAATAGTTTTCTCTTTTGCTAACAGAGAAATGAATCAGAATGGATTACAATGCCCAAGAGAGTCAGCAGTTCCGTAAAACTTGAAATTTCAGCATAGGAATGTTATCCACATACATTCATTTGATACTTGTTTTTTTTTTTTTTTTTTTTTTTTTTTTTTTTTTTTTGGTTTATGCTTGATTATTTAAAAAACAAGTAAAATAAAGGTTTGAGGAAATTCTCTGGCCATGTTTTGGACTGATGCAAAAATTTAATAACAGCATGTTATCACATTCAAATCGTGATGGTTTGGTTTCGGTGAGAAGTGAAAGCGTGGTTAGAGTACTGTTACTTGTTCCTTCTATTCAGTCAGACATTCAAAACATGTTGCTTGAGAAGCTTCCAGAATACTTTGATATGGACCCTAGTGGGACATTGCCCTCTCCCCGATTTGAGGACGATATTGCCAGGCTAATACTGAACCAGTTTCGGTGGCTTGACTTCCTTGTGGATTCTGAGGCATTTATTGATCGGTTGTTACAAGTATTGTCAATTTGCCCCCTTCACTTGAAGAGGGAAATGATTGGATCTTTGCCTGAGATTATTGGGGATCAGAACAACAAAGTTGTGGTAGATTCACTCCAGCACATGCTCGAAGAGGATCCCTCTGTTATTATTCCTGTGCTTGATTGTTTCTCTAATCTCCATTTGGACGAGACTTCGAAAGAACAGGTTCTTTCTTATAAACATACAAGCACCAGTTTCTGCACTAATTTGTAGACTTGTGGTCATATTAGCTGTTTTACCAATTTTTTTTTCCTCCAAAATCAAATGAAGGTTGTTACAATAGGATTATCTTGCATTCGAACAGCTGATATGGAGCATATGCCATACCTACTCAGATTCTTATTGCTCTCTGCCACAATATCAAATACCCGTCGGATAATATCACATATCCGGGAACAGTTAAAATTTGTTGGAGGATTTAGTTATCATGCAACACAGCAGGGTAAAATGAAAGGGAAGTCAATTGTAAAAGATGGGGAGGCTTCAGTTCTTGATGCCTTGAGGTCAAGTCTTCAATTTAATAAAGTCAGTTCACAGTTTTCTGTACTGATTTAATCATTTCCATCCTGCTAATTAGTCTTTGGACATTTCATTTTTACAAATTACAATCTTTTGTATATGGCATGCAATTAGCAGATAATTTGCGAGGAAGTACTAAAAGAACTGAAAAGCCTTGAGAAAGCTCGGGATCATAAGACTATTGATATATGGCTACTTGTACTAATATACAAGAATGGTGAGTCCTTGCAAAAGAGCATTGAGAAGTTACTGAAGAAGAAAATTGTCGAAGGTTATATTGATGAAGCATTATTTGATCAATGTGTAAATGGGAATAAGGCTATTGCACAGGTTTGACTGAAAAGTTCAATTCCATGTCAAAACAATTGATTATTAAATATGTATTGCTTTTATGTGATACAGATTTCATTCTTGTGATAAATTAGGATTATCTTCCCACATTTATCTCTATTTCTGGGTACTTATTGGCATGCAAAGAACAAAAGGCACAAGAGTTTGGCATTCATATGTATAAATGCTTATTTGAAGAGTTTGCTGATAGCTTTTCAAGACAGGAAGTAAGTTCTTGTAAAACCACACAGATTTAATGTGTGTGTGTGTATTATTATTTTTTCACTTAGTTCTCGTAATGAATGAAAAAGAACATCTTGTGCACTGCACTTCTAGTCCTACTAAATTGTTTTTACTATGAAGCTTTTAGGAGCATTAATCACTCACGTGGGCTCTGGGATTAATCATGAAGTGAGATCTGGTTTGCAAGCCATGGTACTCCTTGCCTCCAAGTACTCCCTTGAGTTGATTCCTCTTTCGTCTCACATAATGGGTAAGCTTACTGATCCAATATTTCCTGTGAAGTGTTCAATATGCTTTATTGCTAAGGGTTTTCTTTTTTATTTCAGGTATCTTGGATTATTTGGAAGGATTTAGTTTTGAAAACTTGCACCAGGTTGCTATTGCAATTTTTAATTTTTATGTTTTTGTTGGCCATGTAAACTAACCAATTTATATGGATTGTTATTATGGTAATGCTTTTCTTGCTTAGGTGTATGAAGCTTTCAGCGTTCTTGCTCTTTCAGCAAGATCTAATGCAGGGTCCAGATCTTCTATTTCTAATGAACTTCTGATGATTGTTAGGAAGCAGGTGAGTGGAAAGTATAACCCAGGCTTCCATTTTCATGCACCTCCTTGCATTGTGACTTATTCGCTTCAAATATCTTGACAGTTGAGTAATCCTGATCTTAAGTATAAAAAGATGGGCCTAATTGGGACAGTTAAGATAGTTTATTACTTTGGAGCTGAAGTGATTAACTCCTCCCAGTCTTCATCTCAGGTAATTTGTTTAATATTCATGCACAATCATATTGCAGTTTTACTTTTTTCCCCACCCTAATTGTAGCTTTAGTTTCAACCACTTTTTGGCATTGAAAGAGACTTCTAGTGTACTTCAGGCTTTCCTGATGTATACAATATTACAATTACATTTACGGAATCTTACTATCTAAGTAGTGATTTGAATTTCTAAATTGCTCATTGGAAAAGTAAAAAGTTAAAAACTAAACCTTGCATATGTTGTGTGTGCATTATTATTGTTCATATATTGCTAACTTCCTCCTTGTATTACCTGATGCTTTCTATGCATCAGAAATTTGATGATTGCTGTCTATAATAGTATAATTCTTGCCATGCAATTTGTAAAAGTGTTTTGCTCAATCTTACTGCATGGGGAAATTCTATAAATGGAAAAAGCCATATCTCTACCCAAGGTTCATTGGGTGATGCTTCCTTCCTGGAAATTTGCTTCTTCCTTAAAAAGGTAGGTTCTCACGTCATGCTGGGTGTGGGGAAGGGAGGCATATGCATGCCTTTGTTTTCAAAGAGGTTGTTTCTAGTGCTTGGGCCATAACCTTTTCATCAATGGGTGAGCCATAACTCTGATGAGGGCACATACTCAATAGTATATCTTAGTATGTATTCTGGTCAAAACATCAACTCTATTTTGGCTGCCTAGATGCGTTTATGTTTAGCAAATTACTGTTCATTTATTAATTTGTTCCTTGTCATTTGCTTGGTCACACAATTCACTTTGTTCAGTTCAATAAACTTGGGTATTTGTATTCTTTCAAGCAGTCCAAAGTTTATCTGCTAAAGCTATCACTCTATCAGAACTTAAAGAAGGCATGCATTTTCAGTTAATTTTCTAGGTGTTTTGAGTAAGTTAAATCAGGTGGTATTTTGTAAGAGGAGCAACTTTTGTCAGTGTTAAAGATCATTTGGTTTCCTTCTATTCAATTTTAGTCTTCAATTATATGATTGCTGGGAATGATATCTGTAACTCAGATCTATAATGATTAATAAAGCAATATCTGTATGTGGTGATAAGGGATCTTGTTTTGCAATGAAATTCATATTTCCTTAGCATAGATTCCTATTTCTTGTAAGATGTCACCTTTTACCTGCATTGAGTTCATTGCTTTTCACATTATCATGGCTAATTATTTTGAGATTCAATGGGACCATTTTTTACTGGCCTCTTAATTTCTTTTAGAAGTCAAATGTTGAGGAGGCTTTGGAGCTTTTGAAAACATCTTTGGAATCTTGCAAACAAATGACATTGCCACTAATTATGTTTTATGATGAATTGGTTGTGACATTGAAAAACCGGAGTCTTCATCCATCCATCACAGAATGGTGGGTAGGACATGTTTTTTTCCCTCTCTCTCTCTCTCTTTAAAGGTAAAAACGTAGCCTATAAAGCTAAGCTTGTGTTATCTACAGGATCAGCAAACATATAGGAGACTTTGAATCAAAATATTTGTCAGATCTTGATGGTGGGCAGCTGCCAGTTAAAGATGTATATTGTGGTTTGGAAGGTGAGCACTACTAGAGTATTTATATTATTTCAATTTGCAATATTTTGTTCAAATTTATTAAAATATGTGATCGAAATATTTACTCCTGCTAAAAATGCAGGACAATTGTGGATGAACCTAGATGGAGATATATCTCCTATATGTGTGAACTTATTGCCACTTGTTTCCTCTTCATTGCGGTAATTTTGTAGACTATCCTCTGATTGCTTTCAAGCTCGATATATCATGTTGCATCTCAAATTTCTAATTCATGTTTCTACAAACTGCTCATGATACATTTGTTCTTTCAGGTCTGCTCCATCATTGGAAATACTACCTGCAAAAATCAGTTTGCTTTCTACAGTATGTGTTCTTTGGACATAACATGCCTTAACCTATGGACTAATGTCTTACTTATGCTCTCAATTCTTTTCCCAGATTGAGAAATTGACAAATCAAGGATCACTCTTAGGCATTGATGCACTTCTTGGCTGCCCTTTACACCTCCCTTCCTCTAAGGTGAATTAATTCTGTAGCATTTTATTTTGATTTTATCTTTCTCAAACACTTTCACCTTGATGAAAATAATAATTTTGTGACAGTAAATTTCTTGCCACTGATTTTCAATTCTATCTACAGCTAATGGTGCTATCAGATTAATTTATTAATGTATATTTAAAAGGTAATGATGTTTGAAGAAGAGATAATAGTTTAATCAGAGAATTTTATTTAATTAAAGTTACTGGATAATGACGTTTGAGGAAGAACTAAATTCCAAACAGCTCATTTGATTTTTTAAATAGTTAGGCTGTGTGGAGAAGATAGATCTAGTTTGGAGGTATTGGTCCAGTTCATTAAGCATTAACTATTGGGAGGTCATTATGAAAAAAAGCCAGAAACTGTTGTGTATTTTTCTTTGCTTTCTAGTGGGTAGGAGGTACAGAATAAATAACAGTCAGTCAGACTTAATGAAAGTTACTGATTATTTGTTCTCCTTTTAATTCATTTCATTTTATTTTATTATTTGAGGCCTAGTTTTGAGGTATTAGTTCTGTTTATTAAGCATTAACTGTTTAGTTCATTTGTTTCCCTTTGACCAGAGTTGGCTGAAAAGCTTAGGAAAATTGGTAGAACTTTAGAGATAGAAATGGGTAGTGGACTCATTCCACTTAAATTATTTCACATCTGGCAGATTATTCTGATTCTTCAAAGGCAGAAACTCTTGATCTGATGCTTAGATTCTAACCAGAAAACCGGAGAATGGTGGTTTTGGCATGATTGAAAACCTTTGTAATTTGTCATTTCTCTATCATACTGCTACTATTACTACTAGTCTACTACTACTACTACTACTACTACCTTTTTATTTGTTTTTGTTTTTGTTTTCCCCAGTTATCTGATTTGGGGCTCTGGGGTTCCTCACTCTTGTAACTTTTCACTATTGTTATCTACTGTCCCATCAAAACAAAGAACTGTCAGCTGACTTTGTCATATACATTTTTTTCAGCTCTTTTCTATATCTGTTTGGCAATCTTTGAACGGGAACCAAAAGCAAATTATTATTCTTTCATTGTATTATGCTGCTAATTGGATCCGTGAACTGGTAGGTATTCCAAGTTATAGTTTAATTCATGGATTGGTGTAGAAATTCCTTGTTACAATTAGACTTTTGTTCAATGCCATCTAGCTCAATGCCTTCTGCTCTCAAGTTACCAACAAATGTGACTATGTAAGCCAAGGAACAAAGGAGGAGATAGCTCTTAAACTATTCAAGCGGTTGAGGAACCTCATGTAAGCTCTCATAATGTTACCTACAACAATACTAAAAAGATCCCCTTCTCTAGGATTTTTCTTTTTGGATGCATCTGAAATCATTTGTTATTTTGGACAAGTTAGTCTTTAGGAATTTGAGTAATAAAGGTTTGGTTATTGCAACCTGTATCTCTTACCTATCTAATGTTATTTATTTATTTACTATGTATTTTTTAGTATACTATCTCATGTTATTTGATTAGCTGGGGTTTTCTTCATCATTATTCAGATATTAATTTGTATCTTGACCAACACATCTTTCAAGCTGTAATCAAGTATGTATAGAAATGTCAAGATAATTTCGTGCAAGGTTATGTTTTTGTTAATGTTATTAACATGTGAAGAATACCCAGCTAACTTTGTCTCTCCGTAGGTGATGCTTATATTTTAGTAGTAGGCATTCTTGATTGTATATATACTATAACAATTTTCTCAAGGATTGATGTATATATAGTCTTCTATTCAGTTTCTTTTCATTTTCTGCAGTTAACATAATAGGCTATCTAGTATCTACTTACTGTAAGTGATAAAGGTTTTATTAGTTTCAGCAATGTTTAATACTCATTATGTCCAGAGCATAATATGAAATTACATCTTTAAAATCCATCAATGACAAATGTGAACAGTTTGAAAAGAAAAATCTAACATCAATATTGCACATCAGTATATCCATCTTTACATTACTAATTATAGAAAGGCATGTTTACTTAAGTGGATAATATTGCCAAGACCCTTGAGGCTTGTGAGAAATAAACTTGGTCCACACTATTGATTAATAAATATGGCTCAACTTCTGTGTCTAGTCCATAGTTCAAACAATTTTCCCCTTGCTCCTGCTTTCCTGTTTGCATTTCTTCTCATTTCATTGCCCAATTATTCATGAAGCAAAACAGATTATTTTTTTTATTATATATACATACACACACACACACACACACACACACATATATATATATATATATATATATATATATATATATATATAGGGTTATTACCTTAAACCTTGCCTCAATTCACAATAATAGCACAATCGATTATCTATTGACACTCAAATTTTACATAACTGCAACAATCAATCGCACATGTCTCATTAGTTCATCTCAAATAGAGGACACATGGTAAGGACAATAAACAATCTTGCTGTTTTAACATCTCTTTTCAGCAACAGATTATTGGACAACATTTGTGTCCTACAATTAATTTGTTTTTAAGTTTGGGTGTCAGTAGGTAGTTAACTGCCCTGGTCCAAAATTTTGTACTATTTACTGGAGATAGATTTTAAGTATGAGGAAGAAAAAGCATAGGGTAAACCTCCAGGGTTTCTATATTTGTAACATTTTTCAAGAAAGATTGCTTGTGCATTAAATTTACAAACTAATGCGTGATCTTTATAAATCATCTACTTGATTTTATGTATTCTTTTATGATGTTATATTAGCAAAATAAATTATTAAGCCCTGACTACAGGTTTCCTTAAAGATTCATAAGTTTTCAAACTGCAGATTCTTGGAGAGCATGCTAAATAATTGTCTCAGACAATACCCTTTATCTCTGCCGGAACTCTGCCCTCTGGAGCCTCCATCACAAAACCTGCTTAATCAAACTAGGGAACATGAGAGAAGCAATGAGCTTACTAAACGAGATATAAGTTCATCAGAGAGTACTAGAAAGAAAAAGAAAAAGAACCCAGCACTATCAGCAAGCTCAAAAGAGGAGGGAAAGCTGAGGCAGCAAACTATCACAGATGTTCTGAGAAAAGCAGGTGTTATGCCAAGCCCAGAAGTGCTAACTGAGGATTTATCTGGAATGTGTTCAAAGGGAAGCATACCAGAGTCATCAGGGAATCATCAAAATAACCTCATTTCCCCGCTTAATGTGGAAATTTCTTCTGCTGCAAAGTTTCTAGAACCTCAGAGACACAAATTCAGACCTCTTCTGCTGGAGTGTTTTCCCATCTTTGCATTATCAAAGGTAACTTCATTTGTCTACTAATCTATTCCTAGCTTATACCTGTTTTGCTAAACCAAACATGATTTGGGGTGTGACCACATCAGAGTATAATTACCACTTCTCAGAGTGTATCTAAAGAACATTCCTCTTACTAGACTTGGTCTTTGTATGTTTTTTTTATTATCAGTACTTCAGAAGATAAAGCTTCTTTGATATTCTGTTTCCTCTAGTTTATGTGACATTTAGTTTTTTTGTATACTTCTTAAAGGATTTAACATATCTTTTGAATACACCAGAGGCTAAATACTATTTTTATTTCACTAAATCTCTAATTGAGGGGGAGTCCATTGATAGCCATTTTATCGAACATTCGCTCTACAACATTTAGCTGGATATCAGTGCCTCTTTACCATGTTTTTTATGCGAGTACCATATTACCAAATATAGAAGTGTTTTTGACCAAAGGTTTTCAAATGCAGAATCAAGACTCTTGCTGCCGAGATCCAGCTGCTGAGGTGATATGTGTTTTCTGTTTAGATTTGTTCTGTTCATACTTCATATTATAATTGAATGCCTTTCGTTTCCCTGGGCTAGGGAGTATTTAGGAGGCAATAGATGAACCTGCCTCCTTAGACGGGACACTTTGGTATTTACATGTCTACTTGAATTATATCTTTTTATATATTTAACTCTTCTTCTTTGATGGCTCTAGTTACCGCTTCATCTTTATCTCCTACGTGATCTTAGCCAAAAGCTGGATTATTGTAGTCCACAACAGAAACAAATACTGGCCAAACGTGCAAATCTGCCACCCAGTCTTGGTTGTATGAATGTAATGGACTTCTTAAATCATGTTCGCTTGCTGTTTCCTTCTCTTAAAAAAAATCTTGATCATGTGCTTCACATTCTTAGAGAAGGTATGGCAACCTGAACTGTGTTATTTCCTTGAGATGTCTTGAAATTTCCAACATCTTACACCAACTTCCTGTAGATACTGAAATATGTCAAGATCATTGGGAAGTTCAATCTGCTGCAGCTGGGAACCCAGATATAACAGGCATTCTTTGTTCCACATCTAAAGTTTCTTACTCTGTCTTAAAGGAGACACTCTGCTGTTTTTCAAAGGTAAAATCTGCTTTTGATACTCTTCACGATAACACTTGCTTTGTGAAGGTAAATTTTTCTTGAGACTTTCCCTCGTCTGTCCAAGTTTGGGTGGATTGAAGGGAGAAGAGTGCACAGTATGATGGAAAATGAATATATGTTTTGAGTGTGGAAGTTTATATATCTTTCCTCTTTGTTAATCTTTAATCTTTATCCCATTTTCTTTGGGTACTGCAGATGGTTAACATTCCGGAGATTCAGAGGGAAACAGCAGTCCTAACCGATCTTCTAGAGGCTTTCCAGCCAACCAAAATTCCAGATTCCTTCTTTCTAGGCATGCGCCATATTCCTTCTCCTGGGAACATAGATTATTTATATTCGGGTGCATATTATTACCTTGAAGAATTATTTAGCATAGGTATGCAGCTGACTTACTCTCCTTAATACTTTCATATTTTTGTTGATTTTCTTTTTAGTATATATGGAATTTTACTGCATCTCTATTTTTCTGGCAGCAAGTACAATTTCTTTTACACTATCTTCAGAGGTAGTGCTGACTTTAGAAGCAGTTATATTGTCAATCCGAAAGATTGTAGATAAAGATTCAGTTGAAACTGGAAATATTATTCAGAAAGGATTTATCAAGGAGCTATTTTCCTTTTTATGTGAAAAGCTTGGAACTTCTGCTAAAACACTATTGACACAAAAGTATGATAGTGAAAATGTTGAAGAGGATTCGAAAATCAGAGTAAGTCTATCTATCTTTTGCTTGCAATTGTAGGAGACAATTTGTACTTCATGGGACAGGCTGTGACTATTTCCTTGTGATTTGCAGCGTGAATTGGTCCAAAAGATTCTTCGCATTTACTTGGAAAATTGCCAGTCCACCTCTGCTTCTTTGAATGAGCTTGCTTGCTCTATATTGCCCCAGGTTCATTAACTATAAGCAGTCTTGTTGGTTACTGGTTAATAAAATATTTATAAGTTGAATTTGTAATTTCTTTTTGCTGTTATTGAACTCGTAAGTCTTAAAATTCACACTAGGCATTACCGATATCATAACTTTTTGAATAGTTAGATTGATGACTGTGAAGGCACTGGAACTTTATTTTGTTAGATGTGCTGTCAAATTTCTGATTACCTGGATACAATCTTCTAGTTCATGGTATTTTTCTTTTTTCTTAGGCGACTTCAAAGTCAAAGACAAGTCAAGTAGAAGATAAATGTAGCTTTCCAAGTCTCTGTCCTGCAACATTCATTGCTTGGTATCGGGTGATGGTGAGAAGCCTTAGTTTTATGCTTTTGTATTCATACAGTTGTATCAGATAGATTGACTCAAAGTGTTTTAATGTTACAGCATGAACAGAATGTTGCAACGCTTAATAAATTAGTGAGTACTAAATTTGTATTTATTTTATGGAGCAGTTAAATTGAGTAAGTATTCTTTATCAGTGAAATTGAATTTGGTCCTTACCTTGTTTAGGTTAAGGAAGTTTGTCAGTTGGAGAAATCCAAAGCTCGTGACAATGTGGAAGGTGTGGATTGCCTACTGAACAGACTGGAACAATCTGTTAACGTTGTGGTATCTTTAGTTAGCATGTGCAAAACTCATGATAAGGTACTATCCTTCTCTAGCCAGTCATTTACGTTTTTATGCAGGTGTAAACCAAAGCTTAAACTAATTAGTAGTGGTGAAACAGGTCGCTGTTCGTGCAATGGCTGTCAAGTTCAGCGGGAAGTTTGTTGATTCTTTCCTCAGAGGTACTTGTTATGCAGTTCTATAACTTAATTATGAAGGCAGGTAACTGAAATTCAAATGCCCCCTTCCCCAAAGTTTTTGGGTTTTTGCAGGCTCAATTTCAATTGCATGGAGAGCAAATAGTCAACCTGGTGAGATTTGTTAATTAATCTATTAAATGGGATTGCTTACTCTTATTAGTTGAAAGAATTGATTTGGTTGCTTTTCGAAAACTTATTAGGTTCTAGAACTTCAGAAGGCAACAAGAACCATACAGGCAATATGTTCTGAAGCAAAGGTTCACATTGCATCTCCAAATCGAAAATATTTATGCTGACAATAAATAATTATGATGTCTCTCAAAACTTTTGCTGCTTATACTAGAATCTTGATTTGGGTGCAGGGCTTGAAGCAAACTACTATAACCAGCAAAATTCCATCTACAAAGAGATCTATGGAGCGCTTCCTCTTTCATGTCAAGGCTCTCCTTCATTCTACATCAAGCGGATGCACTTTTTGGATGGGTAAGTTCCCTTCACAGTGGGTTATATACTATTGAATGAGATTGTTTTAGTGTATGCATTCTTTTTTTTTTTTTATTTTTTTATTTTTTTATTTTTTTTAATTCTGTGCTTTACTATTGCATAATTCAAGATATTGATTAATCTGATTTAAAATTCTCTAAGCAGTTCAAAAGTATGTATTATATATGTGATTTAAACTTTACTGTTGGTCTTGGTTGATTTAAGAGTTGTGATCTATACTTATGCTACTCTTAGAGACCATGTTTAGTGTGAGAACAAACTTAGCCGTGTTGAGAGATGCCTTTTGTTGAGGATCCTGTGCTTTAAAAAAAATGGGAAAATGGTAATTTACGCCTAGTGTAAATGTTGCCTCCCAATTTTCCTCCCGTACAATACGAGAGAAACAATATATGTACCGTTTTGAAAATTGAAGGGCAACATTTACACCATTAATAATTCAGCATTGATAATTGAACGGAGGAGCATAAATTACAATTTTTTCAAATTCTTTGGTGGTCTTAAAATGTCTGTTTATTAATGGAAAGCAGAAATTTGGAAAATTGGGAACAAAAAAGTGTGCAGATCATTGTTTACAAAACATGAGTGAACAGTAGAATATATTTCTGAAAAAAGAAGTAGAAATTTTCTAGTCCCAAAGGTGCAAATTCATGATTGTAGTGTGTGTGATGGCAGGAAATTTAAAGCATAAAAACTTGGTGGGAGATATAGTGAGCTCCCAAGCGTACAAAGAGGAGGAGGAGGAGGATGTGGATGACAAGGAAGATGATCCAGAAGCAGCTGAAAATACAGAGGAGGATCAAGCAGTGGATGGTGGTAATGAAGAATGAATGAGTATCAGACTATTTTAGAGTACAGTGTCAGTGTGGATACTAAAGATTAGATACACAGTTCTTTTATGAAGCATGAGGTGACGACTGACGGGGGTAATTAGTTGTATATATCTCATATCTGGCTATCTACCCTGTCTTTGCGTTTTTTACATTTCTGTCAATAGATGCAAGGGTAAAATAAAGAATAATGTTATTTTTTAAAATTTTACTTTTAATGTTCATATCCTAATATGATAATACTTTTTTTTTATTAATTAGTTATTGTAAATTGAAAACAATAAATATAATATGGAGTATTACTTTAAAAATAAATTAAGAATTATTTGCTTTTATAAAAAGGTAAATTGGAGTTCATTTTGCTTGGTGTTAAGTGTTGCAAGTTGGATTTCTATAAGTTGAGTGTTTGAGAAGCAAATCAAAGTTATTTTCTCAACCTATTGAAGCACAAAGAGTCAATGGCTCGATTCCACAACCTCCCTTATAAGGAAGGGACTTGGTACTATTGAATTACCATTGAACTACAAGGTCTTCAACAAGAGAATTAATGTATTTTGATGTATGGGGACCTACCAAGAGGCATTTATAAGTGAATATCATTTGTTATTATGTTAAGAGGCATTCTACTTGAACGTAACTATTAATGAGCAAGCAAGTGGAAAGGTTGTAGAAGAAGTTTGGACATAAGTTATGGGATTCTGTAGCAAAGAAAATGTGATCACATGTAGGGTTTTATACCAATTGCAGTAGAGGTGAATATAAACTAGGTTTTATTGACTGAGAGGGTAGATACTTCCTCTATGTCTGAGAGGCTTGAGATTTCATACTCCACGTTTATAAGTTGTGATGGAAAAGACTTACAAGATTACTATTTGGCCAAGGACAAATTGAGTCACACTAATGTCAAGCTTCCTAGCAAGTACAGATTTTAGGACATTGTCTTTTTTACACTTCTTGTCAGTAATAATGTTCCAATTACCTTTCAGGGGGCTATTTCTAGCTGGGAGAAAGATAAACAGATGATTATTGTGGTTGAGGATATGGAGTCTTTTCACTAGAATCATACATAGGAGCCAATTCAGCTTCATGAGGGGAAGAATGCTATTGGTTGCAAGTAGGTATACAAGAACAAGCCACCAATATTAGATAAAGAAGGAGAAATGTTCAAAGCTCAATTAGTTGCGAAGGACTTTTTTTTACAACAAAATGAGATAGCTTATGATGATTTTTTTCTTGTGATTAGACACACACCAATTATGGTAGTTCTTGCTTTGGTGGCTACTTGGGATTTGCACTTGGAGCAATTGGATGTGAAGATTTTTTTTTTTCTTTTTTTACATGATGATCTAGATGAGCATATTTACATCAAGCAATCGAAAGGGTTTGTTAAACTTGGAGTTAAGCATATGGTTTGTAGACTTAAGAGATCATTATATGGGTTGAAACAAGCTCCAAAGTAATAGTACAAGTAGTTTGATTCTTACATGATAAAGATTGGCTATTTTTACATGATAAAGATTGGCTACACACAATGTGAGCATGATTGTTCTATCTATGTATGTGGATCTATTAAGAGTATGAATGATATTACTACACTGAAAACGTATTTTGACACATTTAAAATTTAACAAATTAACATCAAACATTTATGTTTTGTAATAATTATAATTTCTAATCTAAAAAAAAATCCAATCTAACTCAAATTTCTTGAGTTTGCACACAAATTATTTTTAAAAAATTAACATAACCTCATTTTTTTTAGAGTTAATACCCAATTTGGTCCTCCGACTATTAGCTAATACTCGATTTAGTCCCAAAGTATAAAAAGTATCCAATTTAATCCTCTTACTTTTAAAACAGTACGTGATGTTGTCCTCCATTATAATTATCATCTATCCACCGATATTTTGAAGGGCATAAGCGTCATTTTAGTCGAGATTTCTTCATCATATTCGTCAAAACGTGAAGACAGAAACCAACAACCCTTAGCCTCTTCTCCCTCGCCAAAAACAAACAAGAACAACCTCCATCTTCTTCAACCTTCTCACCCTCCTTCCTCTTCATCTATCCCTTCCTTTCGCTCGACGTAGCCAGTGACAACAGCAGAAGCTGTTGGTTTCTGTCTTCACGTTTTGATGAATATGATGAAGAAATCTCCACTAAAATGATGTTTATGCCTTCAAAATAATGGTGGATAAACGACAATTGTAATAGAGGATCACATTGGGTGCGATTTTAAAAGTAAGAGGACTAAATTGAGTACGTTTAATACTTTGGGACTAAATCGGGGTATTAGTTAATAGTCGAAGGACCAAAATGGGTATTAACTTTTTAAAAAAAAAAAAAAATGCTATACAACTCAAAGTTCGAAGTAAACAATTTTAAAAGTATTTTACTATATAAATACATGTTCAAAAAAATGTTGCAAAAATCTCGCCTAAGCACCAATTAATCGCCACATATGCTCTGGCCGGCCACCTAGCGTATCACCATAATCAGTGGTCTAGGCAACTCCGCCTAAGCCTTTTAGGTGTCGACTAAGCCGTCTAGGCACCGACTAGGTCACATAGTCGATCAATTAACTATTGTTTCTTTCTTTTATAAATGAGTTATTTCACTTAAAACGACATTATTTTGACTAAAATAACACTAAATTGTTCAAACTTTAGATATTTTTTAAGTTAATATTTACTCCGTAATATTTTAATATTAAATAGTTTATAATTATCGAGTCTTAAAAAATTAAAATATTTTAAACAAATTTTTAAAAAATATACAGACGCAGGTCAATCACCTTCTAAGCGCCCACGAGTGCTCGATAAGCGCCTAACGATTTTTTTTCAAATATTATTGATACCAATTTTTGGACTTGTTTGACTAAGGGAATTGATACAACCTCAGAAAGGATTCCCCACGCAAGGATGGATTTCTATTACGCCTTCCCATCTAACTCACCTCTTGAAACATAATATCCTTTTTAGATATTCCTTGTTTGATAAGTAGCCTTTAGCTTATTAGCATATCCACGTCTAATAGCGTAGTATACTTAATCAAGGAAGAAAAAGATTTTTACCTCTTTCCCATGCATAATCAAGCCCCAAAATAACCTCATCATTGTGGCCCCAAGAACTTTGTTCCACTTCCATTACAAGCTAATATTACTTGCTCCAAATAGCAATGTTCACAGGGAAAATGACACAAAATAAAAATGCCACTGATTGCATCTTCAAAAAATGCAGAGCTCCCTCATAAACTAAATGAATACTGCATAAACACTAATACGTACGCGGAGGGGATGAAAAATTTGCATCACATAATGTGTTGCAAGTTTTCAACTTAACCTCCAACCAAAATGCGAATCAGCTGATTCAAGGAATCGAGATTCTCAGTTATTTGGAAGTGCAAGGAAGACTACTTACTTAGCTCTAGCATCTAGGCTGTCTTTTGGCAACAACAGAAGTGCAGTTGTTTGCCCAATGCCCAGGCTTGCCACACTTGAAGCATGTAGTCACAGTGGTGGATTTCCCCCCTCCATCAGCAGGAGAGGACAGCGAAAACGAGAGTGTACAATCTTTTCCCCAGTGCCCTTCCTTCCCACATTTGAAACAGGTCGCAGAGTTATGGCTTTTGTTGCACATGCTGTTCAATTTCCCACCTCTATCAGTAGGAGACTGCACACAATCTTTAGCCCAGTGCCCTTCTTTCCCACATTTGAAACAAGTAGCTGAATTATGACTTTTGTTGGACATATTATTCGTGCTTTGATAAAACTGAGGAGCTTTCCGTGACTCTGTTGATCCAGCTGCGTTTGTGATTTCATTACACCATTTGAAGAAACCACAGCTTTCCTACATAACAAGAGCAACTACTTAGCTAGGCATTAGTCAAGTGAAGAGAAAGCTGTATTCCAAGCCTTGAGTTAAAATGCTAGAAGCATACAGCTGTGTCCACAGTTCCACACAAATCCTTAATCAGGATATGAAACACTAGGGGACAGACACACATTGGGCAGGCCAAGAGAAATCTTGGGAGCTGAAGAGATCGAATGAACAAAATACACACACAAATTGTATGATGCTTGCTATAATTTTAACCCTGGATGATGTACTTTGACTGTGAATTTTGTTAAAAGTCCTTAAGTCTCTGCAACTCAGAAGCATTGAAAGAAGTTCTACAATCAAGAACATCTTTAATAGGTTAAATTTTAAAAGTCCACCACTTTAGGAGGTTTATGAAGCATAATGTTATCCTAAACAACACTAAAAAATTAATCCCCAAAGACCAAGAAAATGAACAAAAAGAAAAGAGAAGACAATAATCATTGTCAAAAACATGTAAGGATAAGTTACTTGACCACACTAGATGTTTCTCTTGCATCCCATTTTATTATTGATATTGAAACAAATATTTAACAAGTCTTACAAACTACATTTTTCCTACACCCATTTTATTATTAGTTAGTCAACTTACTATATATTTTGTCATTAATTTTTTCAAGCTTTATAGAGGCATAGAGCTGTACCAATAATAACCACTTGGCCTATCAATGTTGCACCAGATCTAATGTTTTGCATCTTACTCTGCATCTCAGGTCTCTTGTACCACATTTCTCAAAACCATCACTACCAGAAAGTATTTACTTTCAAATGGGATTAAGAACAAAATGCGACTGCTGATAGGAGCACCAATCCGTTCTCAAGGTCTTTTGCACCCAAATCAATCTGATAAGTTGCAAATGACATTCCCAGTAATACAAATGGGTTAAATGACCAGATACAGATTCCTAGAGTCTTCAAACATTTCAAAACAATGAAGCCTATGCAACTATGCAACAGATTACAGGAGCAGATAAAGTAGTCAAACCATGTCTCATGTCTGCTTTTTATACCTGACTTGGACAGCGATAGAATTGCTGGCCAATATTGTTCCCTGTTTTTGCTGTGAGAACACGGCAAGGACCGGCACCACATGGACATGAAAGCGCGGGGATCGAAAAATTTGTAGCAGAGTTGTTTTGGATGGCTGTGTTATAAGTAACTGAAGGCTTGTCACACCACTCAAAGAAGTCACAACCTCCATTTTCCTGAGCAAGAGTTTGGCTCCACATTAGAACATAAAACGACAGCATAATATCATTACAAAACAAAATAATAATCAGCAATATGCATAGAAGATCACAATAGTCCAGAACTAAATCTGATCAAATTGAGCATCTATATCTAAGTGTGAAAATGGCATTATAATCTAGAAAACAAAATTGATATTAATTCTAGACATAGGCGTAAATTAGAAAAAGCGCAAAACTGAAATTGACCTGTCTGCTAGGACATTTGTAGAACTTCCGACCGCGATTTTTGTCAGTGTTGGCGGTGAGGGTGATGCAAATCCCTAATCCACACGGACATTTCTTCTCAGGGATACTCGCGGAACCGTATTCATCATTAATCGGACCGGCATCGCAATCGCGCGCCCAGTGCCCAGATTTACCACACTTGAAGCATGTATTGCCGGAATCCGAGGTCGGAAACGAAGAATTGCTCTGATAGCTTGTGCTATAGGGGTTATAGTTTTGGCGTGGTACAGAAGAAGGTGAAAAGATTTTCGCTTGCTGTTGGAATTCGAGACTTTTACTGCCTTTTAGAGCCGCGATGTATGCCCCTTCTCCGAGACTGACGGTGCTATTGTTTCTGTTTTGCAGGGCGGTAGAGGTGATTTTCGATGAATTCGCGGCGGAGGTGGAAATGGAGGTAGGAGTTACGGTGGTGGAGATCCGGCGACGCTTGGACGAAGAAAGCGCTGCGGCCTCGGCAGCGGCCACTTGTGAGAGAAATTCCTCGTCTTCGTCAAATTCCATCATCTTCGCTCTCTCTCATACACAATTTGGGAGCACTTTAATTTTGTAATGTTACGTTTCCCGCTCATTTAAGTCGGCTACATCCCTGCCATTGACCTTGTAAGTTAGAATCACGAAGTGACTTTTTCAAATAAAATATTATGTGTTTAATTCTTAGTAAGTGTAGTATTGATTCTTTGTGTTTTAATAAATTGAAAAAGTAATTATAAATAAATATTATAGTATTACATAGTTAATAATACTCAAAAAGACTACATCCCTAACCACAATTAATATTAAAAATTATATTATCACATCAAGGATGAACAATATGAAATAAATTTTGAAGTGTCATTTTTCATATCTATTTAGCATGGCAAATGGAATTAATGATTTCACAAAAAAAAAAAAAAAAAAAGATGAAGAAGAAATGAAACGTGGTGAAAAGCACATATATAAAAAGTATAGAGTATATTTATAAGTATGCATAAATAAATATTAATATATGCTAGTTTCGTGGTTATTTAAAGGAATGAAAAAAATATAATAGAGGAGAAATAAAGAAAATCATTAAAGAAAAAAAATACTAAAATCAAAATAATATGAAAAATTCATTTTAACAAACAATTATACCAACATCTTTTTGTTCCTGTTATTAGCTCTTATTATATTAGTAGATAAATTAGTATATTATATCCTTACCACCATGAACTCTTATTATTTTTCACTAGTCTTTCTTATGCGCGATGCGCAAAAAAAGGTGTCCAATATAAATATTTTATATTTAAATTTTAAATTTATTTAAATTTTAGATATTTAAATTATTGTAAATAATAATAATAATAATGCAAAACATTTTTATAAATTTAATATTTATATTTTAAAAAATAACTAACATATAACCTTTTCTCAAAAAAAAAAAAAAAAACTAACATATAACCCAAATATATTATTATTATTATTATTATTATTATTATTATTATTGAAAATAAGAAAATATATGTTGGATGCATGTGCATGGTAGCAATAGTGGAAAGATAACGAAAGTTATAACGGTAGAGGTATATTTGTCCAAAATATTGTATAGTACGGAGTACAACATTTATAGCATAATGTATCATAAAACTTAACGGAAAAAACAGACATAAATGAAGGGTATAACCTTCATTCACACTTATTATCAATGTTGAAAAAATCGTTAGGTGTCTGGGGACGGCCGATGGCGCCTGAAACGCCTAGGAGGCTGTGCGCATAGCTCTTACGTGCGATTTTTGCAACACTGCTTATTATGAAGGGTATAACATTCATCCACACTTATTATGTTTCAGCTTTTAGATAGCTTTAGAGAAGATTAGGGTTTTTTTTTTTTTTTTTTTTTTTTTTTTTTAAATTTTAAATAGATTAGTTTTTAGAATGAAATATCTAAAAAATATAATAAGTCGCAATCAAAGTTATATCCCTTATTTATGTCTATATTTTTAATGCCAACCATTTTGTACATTGTATTTTTAGAGTTGTATTATATAATTTTTTGGACAAAAATACCCTTATCGTTATAACTTCCGTTATCTTTTCCATTATTTTTACCATGCACATGCTTCCACCATATTTTTTCTTGTATTGATAACAATATTTGTAAGACATTATATATTGGATTAATATAATAAATAAATTTTATTTCACTTATATTTTAATTAGTAAAAATTTGTTAATTTTTTTTTTTAAATATAAATATTGGGTATCGCGCATAAAAAAGACTACTCCCCTCAATAAGTATCATAAATTAAAGCACATATTTTTTTTGAAAGCCAACCAAAAACGGTAGGAGTATTATATCAAATCAGAGAAAATCTCAATACATAGAGCTACACGGAGAGAAAGCTGTAGAAGATAGGGTATGAGCACCCCAATTGACAACATAATAGAACGACAAGAATCAATAGAAAACCCAACATATGATAAAAAATCAACATGAACAGAAGATAAATAGTGCTGGAAATTGGAACAATCAGTGAGAAGTTTCACAAATGTTATTTCACGATCCCTGAGCTAAGAGAGTATCTCCTTGCAAGCTAGAGGGTCATGAGGGGAGAGAAGCAATCCGCGAGTAAGCCACTAAGATTGTGCCGTCCGGCGAGAGCCAGAACAGAGCCAACCGTTGCCTTCTTGGTTGCCGGCCGGAATTGACCACTGCTGGAGTGGCGCGAATTAAAGCATATATTTAAGATAATAGAAATCATCCATGTATGTTGTACTACACATTGGTTCTGCATCCTTTTTTAAAAAAAAAAAAAAAAAAAACATTTATAACAAGTCTCAAAATGGTTATAACAGAAAAAGAGAGAAAAAAAAACACTCTGACAATAGTTTTAAAATATCTTCAAATCTGCAGAGTATACTAAATTAATTACTGGAAAAAACACAACAAACAATAGGGAAAAGACATTATACAAATTAAAAGTAGTACTGTACTCCATCAAGTAAGGTTCCCATGACCAATCAATAGATCGAAGCAATTGAGAAGTGTGGGCGGGTGTAAAGGTGCGTGCGCTGCCCTTTTAATCTGCCCGCCTGCAATCACAAGCTAAGGCCTATGAAATGCAAGTATCGTAATGTTGTTGTATATGGAATAGAAAATGTCACTGAAGAAATTGGAGTTTGGAAAATTAAACAAAAGGAGTACATATGTACCTTTTAATTTAATTACCTTTGCAAATTTAATTTAATTTGTTCTTCTGGCATGTCTTCTTGGAACAGTATTTTTGGAACCCTTTCTTCTCTCCCATGTGAGTTTCCTTAGCAACCAGTTGAGTTTTCCACATCGCAGACCAAAATATCCCACACAAACTCCAAATGGAAATGCACAGCAGTACCCTATCGTCACGCTCTGCCACGAAAATCCATTAAAAAAACCTGAATCCTCTTCCTCCTCCTCTTCTTTTGAGTGCATAGGTGGGTTTTTAGCTTCACATTCTAGTGTCAACGGGAACCCGCACAATGCTGTGTTCCCCAAATAGGAGTCGTTGCCAAATGTATCAAGGTGTCTACTGCGGGGTATAGCTCCAGATAAGTGATTATAGGAGAGGTTTAGAACACCGAGAAATCCAAGGTTTGAGAGTTGCCACGGAATCTCCCCTGTGAGTTGGTTGTTGGAGATGTCTAGGGCCTCAAGCAAAGTCATATCTTCGAGTGATGGAGGTATATGGCCAGTGAGGCTGTTGTGAGACAGATTAAGAAGCCGAAGAGTATAAAGGTGGTTTCCTATTGAAACAGGAATCTCTCCATGGAACATGTTACTTGATAAGTCGATACTCGTGTAAAGCTTTAGAATTTGTGCCACGGACTGCTCGGACCCTTTCACCACTAGCATTGCAGAGCTATACCGGTGGTAATAGAATATGCTATTTCTGTATGTTACTTGTAAGTCAGAACTAATATTATTTATAATCCCGGTAAAATGCAGCAAATAACATGTAGGAAGAGGTCCAGTGAAATAATTGTTGGAGAGATCAAAAACTTGCAACCTAGGGAAGGGAAGCTTGGTGGTAGGATTTCCAATCACTCCACGAAAATGATTTGATCTTAAGATGAGCACTATCAATTGTGGAAGAGCATCTAACCAGTGTGGGAAAGAGTCATTTAACTTGTTGTTTCCAACGTCAATGACTTGGAGAGCTGTAGAGTTGATGAGAGTACGAGACAAAGGTCCTTCAAATTGGTTATGATCCAAGATGAGAGCTTGAAGAACATTACCCCTTGTAATGTCTGCTGGAATGGTTCCATGAAAGTGATTCATGCTTAAATCAAGTAGAGACAATGTTGTGCTTAGATTTCCCAAACATGGAGGAATAACACCGCTCAAAGAATTATCAGATAAGCCAAGGAATTTGAAAGGAGTTGAACTACTACAGAACTCTTTGTGCATAGGACCATTTAAGTTATTTTGCTCAAGATCCAATAATGAGAGTTCATTACTAAAATTTCCCAAACACTTTGGAATTGAGCCACTAATGTAATTGCTTCCCAAGGTAAGAAATTGAAATTGGCTTGCATTGCATAGTGATTCTGGAATATCTCCATGAATCTGACTCTCATAGAGACTCAATATTCTTAGACTCCTGATGTTTCCCAAGCATTCTGGAATAGGCCCATTCAGTTTGTTATTTGCTAGAGAAAGTAGTCCAAGAGATGTGAGATTGCAAATGACTAATAAGGTCTGGGGTCCATGAAGCAAGTTGGAATTTATGGAAAAAATAGATAGTGATGTCAAATATCCTATTTCCCATGGTATTGATTCACTAAGATTGTTTTCTGAAAGGTTTAAGTGTGAGAGCTGAGTCAAATTTCCAATTGTTGAAGGAATTAAACCAGAGAGGTGGTTTTTCTGAAGGCCAAGTTTAGACAACTTTTTTAGATCCCCAATGTTTGAGGGAATGCAACCTGAAAGCTGGTTACTACTCAGGGAAAGATATTGAAGTTGTGTCAATAAACTAATTTCAGAGGGAATCCTTCCAGTGAGATTACTGCTATCTAGAAACAAGGAAGTTAATTGTGTCCAGTTGGCAATGAGTTGTGGTACTAACTCACCTGAAAGCATATTGGAAGATAAATCTAACTCAACTAGTTTGGAAAGATTGGACATGCTGGGAGGCAACTCGCCTGTTAGAAAGTTATCCCCTAGATACAAGTACTCAAGATTTGTGCATAGCCCAAGTTCAAAGGGAATCATAGAATTCAGTTGATTCATTTCAAGAGAAAGAATCTGAAGATGTTTAAGGCTTCCAATGGAAGACGGAATCTCCCCTTGAAATGAATTATGTTGTAGCCCTAGTACTGAAAGGCTATTCATGGAGCCAATTTCAACTGGAATTGTTGAATTAAGTAGATTTAATCCAAGAGCAAGATACTGAAGATGTTTGAGATTTCCTATGGAAGGTGGAATATTCCCAAGAAATGAATTATCGGTCAATTTCAGTGCTTGAAGACTGGTGATTGAACCAATTTCTTTTGGAATTATGCCAGAAAGGTTGTTGTATGAAAGACGAAGAAATTTAAGGCTGGACAAGTTGGTAAGACTAATGGGAAAAGGTCCTTGGAAGAAATTGTTACCAAGATCAAGATGCTCCAGCTTCTCTAGCTTGGAAAACACAGACACTGGAATTTGGCCGGTAAAATGGTTTTTTGACAAATCAAGGTAAGACAGGTTTGGGCAACTTGTTATCAAGTCTTCTGGAAAATCCAAAGTGAACTTATTAGCACGGAGGTTGAGATGATTCAACAAAGGCATAGCATGGAATTCAGACCAATTGGGAGTTTTCAGATTATTCACTCCCAGATCCAAGTACCTCAGGTTTTGAAGATTACTAATTTCAAATGGAATCACATCCTCCAGAATGTTTCTGAAACAACTAAAGTACCTGAGCTCTGTCAACTGCCCAACCTCTGCTGGTATTGCCCCCGTGAAGTTGTTATTGCTCAAGTCCAGAAAAGTGAGCTTAAGGAGGGTGTTGATAGCAGATGGTATCACTCCGCTCAAACTATTGTTATTGAGATTGATGCGAGTCAGATTAGGAAGTACGGAAAAAGCGAGTGGTTCAAGTGTACCTCTGATGTTCCCATGGGGTAGATTCAGCTCTGAAACAGAACCAGCGGAGCTGCAGATGATGCCCTCCCAACTGCACACATTTGTGAGGTTGTTGACAGACCATGAAGAATCCAGTAAAGAAGTAGATGATGATGATAGGGCATTGTTCTTCCATTGTAAGAGAGCTTCGGCTTCTTCTTTGTTTGCATGTAAGGGTGCGGTGTTTACTGTGGCAAGAAAACAAAGGATTTGAAAAAAAAGAGTGAAAATGGAGATTCTCATCATTGTTTAGTTAATAGTAATTCAATAAGGTGGATGATAAGAAACAATGCTTCTATGTGATCCTATATATAGCAGATACAGGGAATGATTATGTGAAAAAAAGTGGAAAAATAATTAATTTTTGTGGATGAGGATTGAGGAGTGCAGGGTAGTCTAGGTTAATATGAAGGTGACAGTCTTTTTGATCGTATGCTCTGATCTCGCTCCCAAGTTTCTTTATTACTGTATTATTCCATGCCTTCATTATGTTTGTTTTTTAAATTTTTCTTATGGCGCACAATAAGACAAAATACTCTCTTAATTTCTAAATTCTTTCGTAAGTACCTTGTGCTCAAATGACATGTAGTGACTTTCCTATATAAGAGGTAATGAGATCAAGCCTCGATTAGACAATGCGGTATTAACTCTTTGTACTCCAACATGTTGAAAAAGTTTAGACGAACATATACTACAATGTAATACAGTCAGTAGTACTAAAAAAAAACTTCTAAATTCTTTCTATCTTATTTATAATGAATTATTTCAACACAATATTAGGATAAAACTTCAAGTATTTAGTTTCTATGCATTTATGGATCCTTTGATTCACAAAATATCATATTACCTTAGGAAATGTTAATATAAACTTGTTTGATTGATAATTATCTTTTATATATAGCGGTTATTTTAATTTGATACTATTACCATATTTTTCTGTATTTCAATAAATTAACTTTAAAATTGAGGTTAGAAACATAAAAGGTAAAGACAAATGACAATGGTAAAAATGGCAAAATAATAAAAAGTACGTGGGAATTTTTTTTGAATGCATATGTTCATATACTTTCTCAATCTACTGAAACACAAAGAGCTAATGCATCTGTTCATATACTTTCTCAATCTACTGAAACACAAAGAGCTAATGCATCTGTTCATATACTTTCTCAACCTACTGAAACACAAAGAGCCAAAAACACATCTACTGAAACACAAAGAGCTAATGCATCTGTTCATATACTTTCTCAACCTACTGAAACACAAAGAGCCAAAAACACATCTACTGAAGGTCGAACTCACAATCTTCCAAATGAAAGTTCAACCTGGGTACTATTAAACCACATAGTCCTAGTTGTAAGCAAATCTAAGATTACCTAAAATGTGGAATTTAATGGGGCGTTTAGTTCAAGTTATTTCATTCCAAGCTGACATAGTGACATATAGAAAAAAAAAAAAAAAGTCCTAGATGATCGATGTCAAAATACAAAATAATATTTCATTCCAACTAAGCAGACGGTGAAAGAACAATCGTACCATTTCATAATGAAATAGATATATGGAATAGGCACCCTAGAAAAATTAGACACTAATGAAAATGAATTGAAAGCAATAATGGCCTTTGGAGATATGTGTGGACCAAGAAATTTCATACTTCAACAATTTTATTTTATTTTTTTTAATGCTACTGACTCTATTACAAATTTACAATGTAGTATCTATTTATATACTTTCTCAACCTACTAAAACAGTCCAACCCAGGTACCATTAGACCACATAGTTTTGATAAATATATGTTAACATTGTTATCTCTTTATTACATATGTTTTTATATGAAATTGGTATGAACTTAAAATAACTTTCTTATCGCCGGGTCCAAAATACGGATGCAAATATGATCAATTTAGATTACTTTTTTCTTGAAGAACAAACGGAAACGAACAGAACAAAATAAAATAATCATTGAAAAGTGTAACCTATATAACTAATAAGAATAAAAGGTAAGATTCTCTCAATAAAGTATAGGTCGAAATGTTTTAGGAATCAAAATTATAATGTTTTAGGAATATTTATAAGTGAACTAATTAATATGTTTTATCTTTTTTCTTTTTCAGATACACAATAATTAATTAATTAAGAATAATATCAAAACAAAAATAAAATTTTGTTGAAAAGTTTTATTTTATTATTATTATTTTTTTTGTCTTCAAAAAAAATTAAAGAAAAAAATGAAACAGATAATACAATAGTGGTTGAGAAATTAAGTGGTAATGAAATTATGAAAATGAAACGAAAGCAGTGGTCTTTGGCGATATTAGAGGACTCGGAAATTTTGTATTTGGAGTATTATCTTGTTCTTCTTTTTTCCACAATACATGACAAAGAGGGGGTGCAAAGAACCTGTGTTCACAAAAAATCATTAAAACAATATCATAATCATAATGGGATTAAATAGTCACATCGAAGATTAAGGTTGTGTTTGGTTGGAAACTTTTGCACCCTACTATAGTCTATAGATACTTTTTATACTCATTATCATATTAGTTATCACATGCGCATTGTGCAAATAGTCCAATGCCCAGTGATGGATTTAATTATTCCGGAGTAGCCCGGATCACTAAACTCGATAATAAAAGGACTAGAACGATGCGGTAATAAAGACAATAGGAAAAGGCAATGAATATATGTCGCGGGGACAACTTTTGTATTGATAGTATTTTGTAGGAGAATTACAAGAAATATGTAATATTCAGACAAGGTAGTAGTAGTGACCGTCCTAAACAAGACAATGATGTCTCCTTATATACTAAGCTCCTGCCCAACCGCCCCTTGAGAATAGGGTAGGCGGTTGGATCACCTTTGACTGGGTCCACTTGCACACCTGAGGCCTAGGACGCCTTCACTAGGGCCACCTTTCGCCACTGCCCCCCGGGTCGTGGTCGCCCTGGCTGAGGTCGGCCCCCAACCGTGGTCGGGCTGAGGCTGAGTGATGAATGTCTAAAACTAATGTTTTTTCCATGTGCATTTTAGTATTTTTTGCTTGTTACTAATTATATTATAGAGTCATTTTGGTCACTTATGGATTTATTGCGTATGTTAGGTGATTTGATAAAGAAATGCTGTTTTGAAGCATTCTACGAAGTATTTGATCAAGTTTTTGGTGTCACCTTAACACAAGGACTCTTTTGGATGTCCAAAGTGATGTTGTTTAGAGTTAGCATGTTTTGGGATGGACTATGGCGTGACCTGAAGCTGAGAAGAGCACCAAAGTGACCATCGACACATTCGAAGGCGAACCCGGCTAGCCGCGACGTGCACACGCCCGTGGTTACAGGCAAAATTCACTGCCTGGTGACCACGGGTGTGGCCACAGCTGTGGTCACCAGGCAGTGTATTATGCCTGGTGGCCACGGGCGTGGCCACATCGATGGGCAACTCCCTGTTTTTTTTTTTTTTTTTTTTTTTTTTTTTTTTTTTTTTTTTTTTTTTTTTGGCAGCGCGTTTTGGCTTTTAAAGAAGGGACTTTTCACCCCCAAAGATACTTTTTCATTTCTCTTTCACTCCATAGCTAGGGTTAACTTTAGAATAGCTTAGATAGGTGTAGATTGGTGGTTTCTTTCCATTTCCAAGCTCAAGAACATTGCAAATCTTGGATTTAAAGGCTTCAATAGAGAAGTGTTCTTTTTATCTTTTCTCATTACTTTTAATCTATGCTTTCAATTTCTCTTTTAATATTGTGTTTCTATTGTTATATTATGAGTAGCTAAGTGTTTTGGGACTAGGATTTGGTTTGATTTCTTGCTATTGATGCCTATTTGAGTTGTATTGCATATAGGGGATTATTTGGGTGCTCTAGGGTTAGTTGTGTGATTTGGGTTTGTTGTGAATTTGTGTATAATTGTTGGATCCCAATTATATGCTTGATTTGGAGTGTGTTTGTTGCTACGAGAGTAGAGCTTGTACACTAGCCACACATTCACACACTTATTGCCCAATACGAGAGTATTTCGGGTATTAAGGAGAGTTTATGCCTTGTGTTCTTGCTTGGACAACCATGGGTTGAATT